AACAGATTAGAGTTGGCGTGTGGAATGGGGGGGGGGGAAGTGGTGTATGTCTGTAGAAGTGAAGTGTGCAAACCATAGCGCTGCTGGGGCAGTAGTTGTTGACATGGAGAAAGGTAAAAAACTTTACTTTGAAGTGGCTCAAGCAGAACAAGCCGCAAAGTTATCTCACCGCAGTAGTTTTACTATCGTTAGTTTATAGAAGTACAACACAAAACATGGTGGATGGTTAACTTTTCAAACAATGAAACTTGTATCCACCATGTCAAATACCTGTACATAGATTAATCTTGTAAACATATTTTCTATTTCGTTTTATGATTCCACGTGTTACTATTTATTTTTATATCAATACAATAAACACCTAACTAGCCCAAACTTCTGTTTGCTTAAAGAATATAAAATGTTTTAAGTGTTAGGGACTGTAGCAATAGGACTGAAGTTTCAAATCTTTTAGATAATGTTTTTAAGTCGTTCTTTTGTTAATATTTTGTAAACACTAAAACATCATTTACACTTTAAAGTGTGATCACTGGGACAAGGGACATAACCATTAAAATACATTTCAATGTTTAAATATCTTTAAAAGGTTCTTTTGAGATTTTCTTTACACTTTATTTTCTCGTATACAAAGTTTGAGGAAGTGTTGTAATCGTGCAAACAATAATCGAGATTTGTAATTTTACATGACCGCACGTATCTCTGTATGTGTGTATGTTTTGAAACACGATAACTTCATTTAAGTTACAGCTAGGTTGATGAAATTTCCTATATTAGTATTATATCAAATGTGTAGTTCGGGATCAACTTTTTCGCGATTTTTGGTAAACGGAACTGGAACTTATTCATATATGATAAAAAGATATGAATTGCTAACTTCTGTCAAATTTTCAGTAATTTCCGTTGACCGGAAGTAGAAATTAGTGCTATTTCCGATTTCTCAAAAAACGCATGTTGGGCGTTCACTTGGTGCGCAATTTTTTTTTCTACGAGATTCTATTCTATTATAAAAAGTTTTAGTAATTAAAAATGGATGAAAAATATTGTTCCGAGTTGCCATCCCTAGTAGTGTTATATTAGAATATTCGACAATTTTTTAGGGAGATCACTCCCGGTTTATTTTGTTTGGTTTAAAATGAAAAACAGTTTTCAACTAAACATTACATACTTCTGGCTTATAGTTTCTATTTTTGAGGGTTTTTTTTTATTCTGATGAGTACAAACTACTTTATCACTTCTACGCGAAATACGACTAAGTTTCATTTTTTTAAAAATATGAATGCTTAAGTAAATAAATTATAACAGAAAAAAATTAAAAGAAGTTTTTTTTTTGTGATCTGCATCTTACAACATTTTATTTGTTTGCTTCGAGGGATTGTGGCAAATCTTTTTATCTCAATTTTGACACACTTTAATGCGACGATTATGTCGTCGCACATTCGTGTAGAATTTGTGGAATATCTAGTTTAACATCATTTTGGTCTAAAATAAATTAGTCAAAAGTAATTTAGTGTAGCGAATTAATAAAAGGGGAGATAAAAAGAGAGGTGTGGCAACCGATTTCAGCGCTTTAGGCCAACTATCAGTTCTGTGCCCCTTATTCTAAAAAATACATTCTTTAGTGTATTTAAAGTGCGTTTACTAGTTACTGCCCCTGTTACACAACCACTGGAGGCAATAATTCAGTCTATGTAAAGACTTGTCGCAGATAATTTTATAATTCAAATCTGTATTTTCGCTCAGGAGCTTCTTTTTTTCTACCACTATTTGTGCACCGTATAGGTCGGCGCCCGTGGCAGTTGAAAAGGTAACAGTTAAGTATTTTTTTTTCATGAAGATCAGCATTTAAATACTTATTCTTCAAATTTTTACCAAAGCATCTGATGTAGGTTATTCGAATTAAGCTACTTCCATACTTTTTCCATGGACAGAATTTACAGAAACGGTTTAGAGAAAGTAAAAAAATAATACATAGGTCTTAAATTATTTTGAAAAAAATGTAACTTAAGTACTTTTTCCGCTGAGCCCTTCAAATCGATCTGGATGTTTGAAGTCAATCAGCAATTGTTTTTAAAATGTTACATAAATGTCGTTACTTTTACCGGAAAAATGCTCGCATATTTTTCAATAACATTTACTTTGTCACTCCCCTCCGCATACCTTGAGCACACAACATTAAACAGTCACACCAAAACACACACTCATATACGTATGTTTAAAAACATAACAAATATTTTAAAATATACATAATAACAAACTTTTAAGTCCACTGGAAAAAATAAAATGAAACTGATTCTTTCATAAAATCTTCGATAGTTAAATATAGCAAAAGATTTCATGTGCGACAAAAGATTTTAAGAAAGAATGCAAATAAGTTTTATTTTTTTTTTTCGGTGCTTTGAACTCATGTTATTATAAAGATGTTTTTTTCTTTTTTCTTTTCCGCATTAATTTTTTAGTTATTTTACATTTATAAAGTCGACACTGCATATGGTGCGACTAAAAAAAAATTGCTTTAAAACACCGTGAGTAGCTCGCGATCTCTGAAAGACGATTATCTGCTTTAAAACACCGTGAGTAGCTCGCGATCTCTAAAAGGCGATTATCTGCTTTAGAACACCGTGAGTAGCTCGCGATCTCTGAAAGACGATTATATGATACGTGGAAGCAGCCGAAAGTGTCCACAATATACAGACAACAGCAAGCCAAGCAAGTTATCGCTAGTTCATGCGGCCATTCAGTTTCAAATTGTTTTAATGACTCTATTCTCGCCCCTGATAGCCTTTACTAACTTGACTCGCCTCAAATATTGTAAATGTTTGACAGCCCTAGCTAGTTTTCTCCCTTTCTGTTACTGAATACAGTCATCTCTAGAGTATCCGCTAAGGGGATAGTTTATAACAAGCTTTGTTTGTTTCGAGGGATTGTGGCAAATCTTTTAAACTCAATTTTGACACACGTGAAATGCAACGAAAATGTTATCTGGAATATTTAGTTTTGGTCTTACATTAATTAGTTAAAAGCAGTGGCGTAGCGAGGTCGGGTGTCACCCGGTGCGGCACTTAATGGTGTCACCCCCCCCCCCAGAGGCGTTGCGCCCCTTCCCGGGGACATACTTTCAAGTTTTCGATTTGCACCCCCCCTCTCAAGTTTTCGATTTGCACCCCCCCTCTCAAGTTTTCGATTTGCACCCCCACTCAAACTTTCCATTTGCACCCCCCCCCCCTTCAAGTTTTTCTCTATATATTTTGCTATTTTTTGCCTTGGTGTCACCCCTAAATGGTGTCACCCGGTGCGGTCCGCACCCCCCGCCCCCCCCCCCCTCGCTACGCCCCTGGTTAAAAGTAATTTAATTTAGCGAATTAATAAAAGTGGAGATAACAGGAGAGGTGTGGCAACCGATTCGAGCCAACTCTCAGTTCTGTGCCCCTCATTCTAAAAATAAATATAAATTTAGAGTATTTAAATTGCCATTTACTAGTTACTGCCCCTGTTACACAACCTCAGTCGTCGAAACTGGCAAGACTCCAATGTTGCGTGTCGTCATACAATTCAATCGATTTGCAAATATCGATTATAATTGGGTCAACTACAAATAATGAACTCAAGCCTAAATCTAAATGGTATCAAAAGCCAGCATGTTTTTATATAGGCTACCTTAAAACACAATCCAGCAGGACAAAGTTTGCTCTACATTAACATTACGTATTTCGTTCAGTGCCTCTATATGTTCACATTAAGAAATTGAATTTAGTATTTTCTCACACAATACTTGTAAAAGATGTGCTCCTCTACATGCTCCAATTTATTTCAAGTCAAGGTGTCGATGATATCCTGCGATTGTCAAATGAATCTTGGGTTAGATTTATGTATCTTACATCGAATAATGGTTTTGGTCTATACGCCAAAGATGTATTCTTTGTCCTATGATTCAAAGGCCGAATTATAATTTTTACAAGCTTTTATTTAGTTCACAATGCTTTTCTTTATGTTAATTTAAAAATTAGTTTCTTATAATATATTTAAATGTGTGGAGGGGTGGAAGCAGGCGATGAAATATCACATTCTGTTTATATGTGCTATTTTAGTAACAACCCCTGCTTCCAACCCTCTACACGTTTACAGTATACCCATTTAGGGAAGCTACCGTTTGTCTGTGTCATCAATCCCGTACTTCTGTGTCGTTATTGAGGTCGAATAATAGTCCATTGTCATGTTTATGAGGCCAGCGGTCAGTTGGTGCACTTAGTGATCAGCCAAAAAAGCTCTACTTTGTGTAGAGCTGATTGGCTGAATTGGTTACACGTCTGACTTGATGCATGGAATGGGGAAGCGATGTAGTTTCGGATCCCGTTAGGTTAAAACTTCTCTGCATCTACTTGGACTATATTCTGCACCTCTGTCTACTCTTGACGTGGAAATATCACTTACGGTTTATATTGCTAATATATTTAAAGAAAATCTTTCTTTTTCTTTTTTAGTGCATTGTTACATAAAAGCTTGTTATTAAAACGTTTTTACAATCTTTTGTTTAGCTCGAAACGCCTGTTTGTGGCAAATTATGTAACTCTATTTTGACCTCCATCTAAACCAGCGATTTCGTTCAAACCTTTCACTTCGATGACAAAACAAGTCTATGTATTTTTTAATTTAATTAGACATTTAATCAGTCATTAAAATTAATTAAACTGTTTCCACACAATGAGAGATACCAAAATTAAATCGCTTGATAGATTACTATATTCACTAAAAAAAAGAGAGATTGCTACATAGACTGCTAGACGCTACAAGCATATTGTGCTGTGCTATTACACATTTCTATAGAGCTGTGCTAATACATACACTCATATAGATCTGTGCATACCGTCATACAAGGCAGTATTTAAAGATCAGTTAACTTCGTTAACGTAGCCCCATTCCAACATACAGTTCTTAAAATCAATATCTTACTGAGTCACGACTCATTTGTTACGTACCTGTTGTAACGTTTTTGTTCTTCTTAGCTAATATCGATTTTCTAGTGTAAGAATTGTTCATTTTTCTCAACACAGGTAAATAAAAATATATAGAATTAATGTTGTCATTTTTATGTATTGTTACTCTGTTGTTTTCACGGGAATGTAAAGTAGTTTTTTCTTTAGTTTGTCCTTTTTATTATATAAGGAGTAATCTCTCTTTCAACATTACATTCATAAATGTATTAATCAAGGTACTATTTTAAGCGATAGTAGATGGACACATTGGTATTTTAAAACTATTTGCATTTATATATAAAAGGCAGACCATCTTGTCCTGGCACTGGTTTGTTTTTAGAAGCAAGTGTGTTAATGACATGAGACTTCTTCTCTCATTTAGGGTGAATGTCGAAATTATCTGTATTGCAATTATTACAAAAAAGTGTAACATTTGATAATAATATTTATATTCTTGAATTCTGTAAAAATTAAAAATGTACATTAGCAAATGCGAAATTTAAGTCTAGAGTGTAACTAAGGTCCATATTCACGACTGCAGAGTGTCCCTGCGTCCAACCAGCTCTGATGGGTACTTGACTCACGTTGGTCAAAGTAAAGGCAGCTGGTCGTAGTGCAGACATTATTTCTTAATTTGCCGAGGTTAAGAAATATAAGCTCTACTTCTTCCATCCTACGAATCATTAGGCCTGAAAAGGGAACTTTACTTTTATAATGGAATTGCGTTAATAAACATTTTTTTAGTTATCACTTTCTTAGTTTTCGGGTATTCTTTATATATAATTATGTTAAATATAATTTTATTTAAGAAAATTCATAAAGCCAACTAATTAACTGGCAAAAACCACACTGTTTAATAATAAATGAATAGAATATCAGTTATTGTATATGTAATGGTTAAAAGTCTCAATTGGTTTTAAATGCAGTTAAAACATTTTTAAAAAACGAAACAATTAGAAATGTCTAATTATTGTGTGTTTTTTTAAATTTAATTCTTCTTTTATATCAAAAATCCAAAACTAGAAGATAAAATTTTGGTGTCTATGAATATTTAAACTTCTACATTTTTCTACTGTTTATAAGTTCTTGATATTTATGTTTGATTTGTAAAGTAGTAAAGACATAGTACATATGAAATGGGTCGTCCATAAATGACACTCGAAGGGGAAGGGGGGTCCGTAAATTTGTGACAGTGTGTAATCGGGGGGGGGGGGGGGGATTCAGATGGTGTGATGTCACACTTTTTCATTATAAAAAAACAAAGTTAGAAATCAAGTTTTAGCAGTTATTTTGCGTTTTAGAAAACGGTTTTAATAAATTGTAATAGGAATTGATAAAAATACTATATGTTGATATAATTCAGACAAGATTTCGGAAAAATAATTGTGTTTTAAAGAAAAACTCAACTGCAAATTTGAGGGGGGGGGGGGGGGGGTCATAGGCTAAGGTGTGACGTCATTTTAGGGGGCGGACTGGCTTTTTGTGACGATGTGTTACTAAGGGGAGTTGGGAGGTAAAAAACGTCAAACAAAGCGTGGCGTCCATTATGGATGACTCCTAACCTATTATTCTTAGCTTTTCTAACCCAATCGTACCTCATACAGTTAAAAATAAAACTCGATATTAAATCTTTAATAATAAGAAACTTTTTAGGGTGTGATAAAGTAGACTGCTTTTTTTTTTAAGAAGATATTTCAATTTCTTGAATATCGTATTTACAAAAGTAAACTACGTCCGGTTGATAAAAAAAAGTCTACTGGAGTGATGTGTTGTGTTTACAGCATTTCTATTTTGTTTTGAGTATTGAGTTGCGATCGAAATTTAATATTTCATTATACGTTAGATGTAAATTATTTGTCTTCCCTTATATTTCAAAAATGTGCCTTTTACTTACCTTAAGATAATTCTAAAATAATTTTTTTTAAATCTAGAAAAATAAAGCCATGTGTATGCTTTTAGATCAAGCAATTTTTAACTTAGCTTTCCTTTTTAGTTAGATGAGGCCTAAAATCCAACTTAGGGTTGTGAGAGATCAAATAGAATATTTAGAGGACTATCTACACAAAACTGAGCCAGCTGTTGGAATTTTAAAGGATGTATGTGTTTCATTCTTTAGTTGGATTTTTAGTTTCTATTTAAATACGAATTCAAAAAGAACATCATTTTATTTTATAATTTAATATTCTTTTTTTTCGCGTGTTAAAATAATCAATATCATAAAAAACCACATTTACCACATCACATTTACTACATTAAATAAATAATTTAGGAAAACGTTTAGAACACGTTTTAGACAGACCTGAAAAAAATATATTAAGCAATATTACACGCAGATAAGTAATACAAACAAGAATGTCATAGGTGTAAACTTATAACTCATTATTAATTACACATAACAACACCATTCTTTTCAATGCTATACACAAAAATCAGTATATTTACTCTCGCACGCACGTTGTCGTAGACATCTAGAAGTTTACCTTAGAAAAAAAATATCACACTGTTTCCTCCATACCAGGCGATATCACAAAGCAAAGCGTGGCTAGAAGATGAGAACTTTCCAACAAGTTACACAGAAATATCTCATCAACTTGAAATGGCTACGTCAGTTGTTTTGGAGCATAAGTCAAATATTTTAAGTAAGTGGTTAGACGACCAAGGTTCCCTTTGAATATTTATTATTTAGATGCAGTACGGTTAGAAGTTCGTAATTATTTATCGAATCAATTTAATGAATATTCTTAGAATTGTCCTTACATTTATGATGTAAAATTGGGAGAACGAAGAATCTTTTTAGAGATCGACGTTTGCAAACGCTTTGGAAGGGATGGGATGTTGTTTTCTCTTCGTCTCTGTATCAGTGTATATTTCTCAGTGTATGTCTCAATGTATGTCTCAGTGTAAGTCTAAGTGTCAATGCCAATGTCAATGTCAATGTCAATGTCTATGCCTGTGCCTGTGCCAGTGCCCGTGCCCAAGCCCAAGCCCATGTCCATGTCCATGTCCATGTCCATGTCCATGTCCATGTCCATGTCCATGTCCATGTCCATGTCCATGTCCATGTCCATGTCCATGTCCATGTCCATGTCCATGTCCATGTCCATGCCCATGCCCATGTCCATGTCCATGTCCCTGTCCGTGTCCGTGTCCGTGTCCGTGTCCGTGTCTGTGTCTGTCTGTGTCTGTGTCTGTGTCTGTGGCTATGGCTATGGCTATGGCTATGGCTATGGCTATGGCTATGGCTATGGCTATGGCTATGGCTATGGCTATGGCTATGGCTATGGCTATGGCTATGGCTATGGCTATGGCTATGGCTATGGCTATGGCTATGGCTATGGCTATGGCTATGGCTGTGGCTGTGGCTGTGGCTGTGGCTGTGGATGTGGCTGTGGCTGTGGCTGTGTGGCTGTGGCTGTGGCTGTGGCTGTGGCTGTGGCTGTGGCTGTGGCTGTGGCTGTGGCTATGGCTATGGCTATGGCTATGGCTGTGGCTGTGGCTGTGGCTGTGGCTGTGGCTGTGGCTGTGGCTGTGGCTGTGGCTGTGGCTGTGGCTGTGGCTGTGGCTGTGGCTGTGGCTGTGGCTGTGGCTGTGGCTGTGTGGCTGTGGCTGTGGCTGTGGCTGTGGCTGTGTCTGTGTCTGTGTCTGTGTCTGTGGCTATGGCTATGGCTATGGCTATGGCTATGGCTATGGCTATGGCTATGGCTATGGCTATGGCTATGGCTATGGCTATGGCTATGGCTATGGCTATGGCTATGGCTATGGCTATGGCTATGGCTATGGCTATGGCTATGGCTATGGCTATGGCTATGGCTATGGCTATGGCTATGGCTATGGCTATGGCTATGGCTATGGCTATGGCTATGGCTATGGCTATGGCTATGGCTATGGCTATGGCTATGGCTATGGCTATGGCTATGGCTATGGCTATGGCTATGGCTATGGCTATGGCTATGGCTATGGCTATGGCTATGGCTATGGCTATGGCTATGGCTATGGCTATGGCTATGGCTATGGCTATGGCTATGGCTATGGCTATGGCTATGGCTATGGCTATGGCTATGGCTATGGCTATGGCTATGGCTATGGCTATGGCTATGGCTATGGCTATGGCTATGGCTATGGCTATGGCTATGGCTATGGCTATGGCTATGGCTATGGCTATGGCTATGGCTATGGCTTTGCCTATGCCTATGCTCATGCCTATGCCTATGCCTATGCCTGTGCCTGTGCCTAAGTCTACGTCTACGTCTTTGTCTAAGTCTACGTCTACGTCCACGTCCACGTCCACAAGCAAGTTCACGTCCACTTACACGTCTACGTCTACCACCACGGCTACGGTTATGTCATATCTGTGTCACGTCAGTCCATCATGTGCAAACATAAATAAAATGCAAATACCTGAGGTAATCATATTTGATAATGACAATCTATTTTAAATACAAGTATTGACCTATTAATTTTGTATCTTACTATTTTAAAATTTGATCAAACTAGGCCATGAAAGGGAAGAGACATATGACGAACAAAGCAAATCAACAACCAAGGCAGAAACACAGGGCACTGAGAAACACTTTCCTTCAATGAACGAGTTCGAAAAACAAGTTCAACAAAGCACAGGTACATTTTTTAATATATATATATATATATATATATATATATATATATATATATATATATATATATATATATAAAACATAAATTGATACTGTATCCTTCTGCTAGAATATGCTAAACTAAAGAAATTTTACAAATTGCAGCTGATTTAAGTGACAAACTAGAGCAGAGAGTAGAACGTCTTGAAACAACGCTAACTTTTCTGAAAGTTGGAATAAAAAAAACTGAAGATGATGTGACCGAAATAAAACAATGGAGCGAAACGTATACAACAGAACAAATTGAAATAAGGAAACAAATAGAACACTTGGCTATAAAACAAAAACATAATTCTATGCAATGCATAAAGCAAATTAACGAACAGAAAAGTATAACGGATAAAATGAACGAAGAATTAAAACAATTAAATGAAATAAAACAATGGAGAAAAACACTTATATCAGAACATAACACTCTGGCGAGAAAACTTGAAGAATTGTCTCAGCAAGAAACAGATAATAAAGAAAAGATTATAGAGCAAATAAAAGAATCCAAAACCAGAATAAATGAGTTGAATAAAGAAATTAAGACACTAAAAGAAAAACAACCAAACGCAAGCCAAGCACACGAAAGCACGAATAACGAGATGAAAAATGTTGACATTATATTGAAAAAAATAAATGAAGAATTAAAAACTCACACAAAAAGCATAGAGAAATTAAATCAAGATATTAAACATCATCACAGCGTCATTTCTCACTTGAGGGAAGAAGGAAACAAAAACGAAAATACGAAAACTGAAGTAGAAAAGTTAATTTCAATGGTTTGTACCTATTTTGATTTTTTTTAACATATTGTATGCTATTTTATTAAATTAGTTTTGTTGCTTGTATTACATTACTTAATAGCAACACATTTTAATAACTACAAACCTAATCACATGGATTTTGTTTTTATTTCATTTGGTAATAAAGCGGGAGTGATCTCTCCCAAACTTTATCGAATATTCTTATATAACACTCTTTGGGATGGCAACTCTGGAATAGACTTGATCGAACAGGAAGTTTTCACCAAGAAAACATAGCATTAGTGCAAGCATCATATGAAGTTGCATTAGAAATTGCCAAGCAATAAAACACCTGACGCAATAGGAGAAAATCTCATTAAACCCTGCATGTTGAGGATGGTGAAATTAAATCTTGGGGATTTCAGTGCAGTAAAGATGCAACAAATATCTATGTCTAATAATACAATTCAGCGGCATTTTGCAGACATGTCCATAGATGTTGAAAAACAAATTTTGAATGAAATTTTACCATTGTTTGATTTTCTTTTTGATGAATCAACATACGTGAGTTCATGTTACAAGTTGTTTGTCTTTGTGAAGTATACACATTTGGATGATAGCAAAGAAGAGTTGATATTGTGACGTGGCTTCGATGTTCATAACGAACGCGTGTAGGCACGGAGAGTTTAAAGTGACATTGGCCTCCCCGAAGAAGTGTGTGAACTGTAGCGTGTTAGCAGTGTGTAGTGAAACCTGAGCGTAGCATGTTGGCAGTGTTTTCTGTTTCAATGTTCACTGTGTTTCTCTGTAGTAGTTGGGAAATTATAATTGGCTGTTACAATTGAAATGTGTGGATTCCAAAATAAAATGGAAAGCTGAGTGTAACAATATTTTGTGAATAATTCATGGAGAAAATTTATACGTTTTTTTAAACTGGATGATTACAATGGGAAAACAACTGTGAGGTTTGTACGGATAGTGCGTCTTGTTTGGGTCAAAATCAGGCTTTCAATAAATAAAGTAAAATATTTAGTTCCCTAACTAAGGGGGATTCACTGGTATGCCCTCGTCAGCAATACTTTTCCGACTCCATTGCTAATAAAAGTCGTAAATTATACTAATATCTGGAGCCATTTACATCAGTCTGTTTAAAGGACTGTTTAAAGACATTCATCACGAGGTTCTACACTATATTACGCTTGTTGTCAAAAGGGTGTGAATCGTGTTTGAATTAAAAGATGATATCAAGTTGTTCTTGGATGGGCAAGGGAAACAAGACGTTTTGATGTACTTCAACTACAAAGAGTGTGTGGGGATATTTGCATATTTATCAGATTTGAACAGCAACATAAGCTTAATCTGAAAATGAACGAATATGACCTCTTTTCATGATACTCTCTTGGAAGTTTTATCAAAGATGCAAAATTGTTGAAGAAAAAAAAAATGTTGGAACTATTGCCATGTTTGAGAAACACTACAGTGTGGAAGATAAATCTGATTGTGAGATAAATACAAATTTGATAGAGCATCCTGGGCATCTTGAATCTCCTGAAAAACCAACTGTGGCTTTATATTCCCTTAGCTGAAAGAAAAAGAATCTGCATTGACACGTTACCAACCCTTTGTTTCCCTGGATGTTGCCAGCATTCCGGATAAATTACAAAATGAATTCTAAAATTTGCGGAATCATTCCGCGTCACGTATCGTTTTAAATTTTAAAAAAAAACTGCTCAAACAATTTTGATGTGGTATGAATCGTTCATATCCAAACGTGAAATAGATTGCCTTTTGTGTTTTATTTCCTTTTTGTGTCTACATAATTTTAAGAGAATATATTTTCAACACTTCTCCAATTAAAAACACAATAAATCAATTAATTAAATGCTGAAAATGACAGAAGGTTGGCGTTAACAAAAACTCAAATGCGAATGTAGAGGCATTTTATTTCACCCATCGCATTAAAACAGTTGTCAAAAATAATTGATATTGAAAGTCTACTAGAAAATCGTATTTTAATGCTTATCAATTTCCTCACTAATTTTGACTTTTTAATTTTATGGGGTCGCCTTTTTATAAAAGGGAGTCGCCACTAGAAAATGTTGGCAAATACTTCTCTATGCTCTGTAAACGAGAAAGTAATAATGTTAGGTCAACTAGATTTTATTATTCTACTTGTGGAATAGCGTCACGGACAAGATCTTAAACCAAAGATTGATGCCCCGTTGAAAATTTATATCAAAAGTTTAATTTAAACTTGGCCAGTAGACAGATGAACAAACAAAAGGTAACATATTTAGTACCTATAGCGACTTTTCCCTTTGAGAGTCTTCAAAGTCCCTGTATCTTCCAACAAGCACTTAACAGGAATATTGTTTGAGACCAATATAAACATATTAACAAAGCTGCTTTTGTTCTTTGGTAGACCCAATTTTGCAACATTAAAAAATAAAAAAAATATTATTTTTTTCAAGTTCATTGTTTTTGTAAATTCGTAGAATTCAATTTAAAAAAAAATAGTTATACAATTTTTTAAATGATGAGGTGCCATTTCTTTAATTTTAGCATTCTACCCTGGAAAATGATGTTTTGAAATTGTCAAATGATGTATATTTAATTAGTAAGTATGTTATGATTAGCGAAAAAACAGAATTGTATCGATCGCTTCTAACAATGTCCGATTTGAAAAAGAAAATCTTCTTTAAAAAAGAGTTCGGTATATAAAGTATTAAATAGGGCTATCCGGAGTAAAATAAGTTGAAAACGAAACAAAATATTAAATAATATAGTAATTGATTATACCTAAAATATTTTGCAAAACTGCAACGCTGTTCCATATAGGGTTAAATAATAAACATACACACAATAGTGAACAGATAAACAGAAAATTGTGCAAATGCATATGATCAAACTCTAACATGTACTTTCCAACAGAGACCCGTGTATGTCAGCCTTACATCTGTCAAATTCACCTGGCTAACGACACACCAGTGACTACTAGATCAATTCTTTCAACATTCTATAAAGTGTGGGAACCTAACGGCAGCCATTTTAATAGAACCACAGGAAAACTTGTAGCACCAGATGATGGTTTCTATCTTGTGATTGTAACGCTGCAGGAAGGTGAGGCTAAACTGATTCAAATCTGTGTGTACACGGGTGATACATTGTATAAGAGCATTCTTGTCAACTCAGCCAACACATCTGCCGCTGGATCAACTGTTGTTTACTTGAGGAAAGGCCAGGCACTTTATTTTAAAGTGGGCCTGGCTGATGATGGAGCCAAGCTACAAGCAGGAAGTGGATTTACTATAATTAGATTGTAAATTTAAAAATGCTTATGAAATAAGTAGTCTGACGCTTATTTAACGCGGCATCATTTTCGATTGTTTTTGATCATCCAATGTGTCCATATTGTGTGCATGTGCACACCGTTTCAATAAGTAGGTTTCACTGTTTGTGGCAGTACTATTATAGAGAAATATGTGAACACACTGAATTATAATCTACCCTTAATTTTTTTAAAGCAAATAGTTTGACTTCTTTTTCGTTTTCTTTTTAAAATACATACAATTAAACATATACGGTGTTTGTTTTTGAGTGTTCAAACATAATTTAATGTTAAGACATTTTAAAGTAGCCATGTGCTTCGCATGCCATTGTTAAATTAACATTAACATATACATCATAAAATATTATGTCTAGTCAAGTTAGTACGTTAATGTAACATAATATGCTTGTCGCATATAGTTTGCAGCACCACTTTCTGTCATAGTTTAATCATGTCAAGATTTAAAGGTGTATGTGTGAACTTGAACATGTCTATGATACATATGTTTTCTACTCCGCATAGTCACGTGCATGTAACAGATGTGCTCGTTATGAAGAGCTTTAGGATCCCACACTTTTCGGTTACAAATTGAACTTTTGATCAGGTACGTGGATGCTACGGTCTAAATTTTATCGAACACTAGTAATATTTGTATCATCACACGATGGTTTTTATCTTGTCCGTGCGACAAATGATAAAAACGCCGATAAATTCATTGGAGTTGGTGTGTGGTCTTGCGACAGTTATTGTACGTCTATAAAAGTTAAGTGTGTCTATACTAACGCTGCTGGGTCAGTGGTTGTTGACATGAAGAAAGGTCAAGAAATTTAAAGTATTTTACGCAGACCAAGACCCAAAGTTACCTGCTAAATTAGTTTTATTATCGTTAGGTTATAGAAGTACATCACAAAACACGGTGGATGGTGAACTCACAAAACAACAAAACTTGTAATCACAAACTTGCGAAATTTAAAAAAAAAAACGATATTTTACAGAAATCTCCCCTGGAGTGTTCTAACCCGGTGTAAATCCGCTATCGACTTTTACTTTTATAATTCGAATCGCGCCCTGCCGGGGCGCCATCCCTGCGAATATGACATTTTATTTTCGCCGATACCTCCCCAGGAGTATTCTCAACAACTTCCAAAACCTTATGGGGATCGGATGGAAGATGTAGTAATGAGTAAATGACAAACACACACACACACACACACATACATACATTGCTTTATATATATATATATACATATATATATGTGTGTATATATATATATATATATATATATATATATATATATATATATATATATATTCACCTAATCCTAATCATAGATCACAATATTCAAATTAAAAATGTTAATGGCTCTTTGAAAGCTGGGAAATTATGTAAATGGTAACTTTCGTCTCAAAAGGTTACCGATACCTGTCATAGACCCATTAGACATAGCGTCGTTTAATTTGTTTGTGTTTGTTATAGTATTAAATTTAAAATTAAAATGAAAATATCAAATGAAACAGATAAACATGATTTATATTTGTTGATAGTCTCAACTAAAATAGACAGATCGGAAAAACTTCAATGATTGTAAACATTCTGCTGCAGATTTGATTCTCACTACAGCTAAGCTATTTGATTTTGCGATGTAAGGCTCTGTGCTAACATACATATACATACAAATACATATACATGAATACACACACACACACACATATATATATATATATATATATATATATATATATATATATATATATATATATATATTTACTTATTTATTTATTTATTTATTAATACGTATATACTTGATAGCTAAATAGGTGTTTTAATTATTATATGTGTTAATGTACGTTAATTTACAGACACAATGTTACTGAATACAAACCAAAAAAATGATTCTAACACATAAACAGTTTTTTTTTTCAAACTAAAGGCAGTAGTGATCAAAATGACAACAGTTCTTTGCAGTATAATAATATAAAAATTCTTTAAAATTTATAACAAATTAATGTTTTCAATACACAATACAAATGTTAATGTTTGTTATGTGAACTTATTCTAAAAACGTTTTTTAATAGTTCATAATCATGTAGCTCCAGGTATAAGTATTTTTTTTAACAATGAACATGAAAATTATGATAAGACCATACACCTAGTGCTTATATACTGATTAAAAGATATTTAAACAAAGCAGTATTATAGTCTATTAGAGATATTAGCTTAGTGTCGTCAAGTATGACACATTATTGGTGAGAACATTGAATAAGCTAGAACTCCCAAATGATGACTAAACAAATAACATATAAACCACTTAAGTTTGTGTAGACATGTAGTCTACATACATAGTAAGTGGTTAGCGTGTGTTTAACATGGTGGTTACATATTTTATTGTTTTGAGAATTTACCATCTACCATGTTTTGTGTTGTACTTCTATAAACTAACGATAGTAAAACTACTGTAGAGGGATAAAGCTGCGCCTTGATCTGCGTGATACACTTCAAGGTAAAGTTCTTGACCTTTCTTCATGTCAACAACCACTGACCCAGCAGCGCTAGTGTCGGCACATTTCACTTCTATAGTCCTACACCACCTGCCTCCAGCCACCACACCAACTTTAATTAGTTTATTTTGACATTCATGTAGAGTCACACAGACAAGATATAAACCATCATGTGGTGATAAAAATTTTCCTGTTGTTTGATCAAAATGTTGACCGTTAAATTCACGCACTTTACCAAAACTTGAAATAGTTGATCCATTACTGACAAGTGTGTGATCACCAAGCGCCACATGACAAGCATATCTGTTACATACACGTGAATCTGGAGATTAGAAAACACATGTTTGATAAACATGTTTAATGTTACACGTAGCCTACATGCTAAGCTCAGATTTTTAACATGCTTATTTGTTTTGGGAATTTTTACTGGGAGGGGGGGCAACTTAATTTAGTGAATGATTGGTCACTCGCTAAAGCATTTATTTTCTATGTAAATTATATAATTGTTTATTTCCGTAAGGAGGTGGGGGCGGATGATGTGCTTCGGTCAGTGCACCACCCGCCCCCCCCCCCCCTTCAGAGAGATGCCTAAGCTAAACACTGAAAATACCTAAATACAAACACATTGTGTTTGTTATTGCATGAATTAAAAAATGTTGCCAAAAACAGAAAACAAATATTAATCCATTTTATTTTATCAAAAGTTGAAGTAGGGATTATAATCCATTTATGTTTACATTATATCTATAACAATACTATTTGAAACGATTAGTTTAGTACGTTATCATTCATTTAGATTTAGTCCCTTTCTCTTATAGCACAAGGTCTTAATATAAGAAACATAATGGAAGAAGATGTGTTCATTAAAATTAGTTTTAAATAAACCGAAGCGATCTCCACTAAACTTTCTCGAATATTCTACTATAAAATAAACCGGGAGTGATCTCCCCTAAACTTTCTCGAATATTCTCATATAAAACAACAGGGATGGGAACTCGGGCGACATGATTTTTAATCCATTTTAAATAGGCCTACTTAAAGTTTTAAAAATAGAATAAAATCTCGTAGACAAAAGAATTGCACATCAAGTGAACGCTAAATTAAAAAAGTGCATAATAGTGCGCAATATTATTAGTACTTTAAAAATTTACATTAGTTTTTTTGAGAAATCGGAAGTAGCGTAAATTACTACTTCCAGTCAACGGAAATTACTCAAAATTTAACAGAAGGTAGAGAATTAGATCTTTTACTTACATGTGAAATTTCATTTATCTATCTGAAATAGTACTCAAGTTATAGGCTTTTGAAAAATTCAAAGTAGAAAAAGTACCACTTCCGGTTGTCGGAAATCGCTCAAAAGTTGATACGGATCTACGATTTTGATATAATACTTATATATGAAATTTCATCAACCTAGCTGTAACGGTACTCAAGTTATCGTGTTTACACACAGACACACAGACACACAGACACACAGACACACATATACACAGACATACGGACAAGATTGCAAAATTATGTTTTTCCGTATCAGTGAGGTGTAAAACGTCGAGATTTGTAAAAATCTCGATTTTTTTTTTTGCACGATTACAATACTTTCTCTATACTACGTATATACGAGAAAGTAAAAACAGGGGATGGAAACTCGGGATATAGACATGAATTTTAATCCATTTTAAATACTTGAACTTTTTAAAATAGAATAAAATCTCGTAGAAAAAAAAAATTGCACACATGTGAACGCCAAATAAAACGTGCTTAATAGTGCGGAATATTAATAAATTTACATTAGTTTTTTGAGAAATCGGAAATAGCATAAATTAGTACTTTCAATCAACGGAAATTACTCTAAATTTGACAGAAGCCAGAGAATTAGATCTTTTACTTGCATGTGAAATTTCATTTATCTATCTGAAATAGTACTCAAGTTATAGGCTTTTAAAAAATTCAAAGTAGTAAAAATACCATTTCCAGTTATCGGAAATCGCTGAAAAGTTGATACGGATCTACGTTTTTGACAAAATACTTATATATGAAATTTCATCAACCTAGCTGTAATGGTACTCAAGTTATCGTGTTCAAACACACACACACACAGACAACGGACAGAATTGCAAAGTCCAGTGTTTAAGACTCGCTAACGCATAAAACTACAAAGTGTTTATATACTTCTATTTATAATTTTTGCCTGATTAAAAGATGTCCTCTATACTCCGGATGTGATGAATGACTGAGGAGTAAAACGGTGAAAACTGTCAACATTTCATGTTATTTTTGTGCACGATTACAATACTTTCTCTATACTTCGTATATAAGAGAAAGTAAAAAGGGCTCTGTAAATGTCTTACTGTACTAGGGTAGACCGATGTAGGTCGATCCCCGACATAACAGGTGGTGTAATGTACCAGGTGAGGAAACAAACACCTGACGGAAACCCACGGGTCAAGAGACTGGCACAATGGGTGAGTGAAATGTTCCATTCTTTATCGCGTTATGATCTGTCTGGCTAACGAACATCACGTTATGGTCTGTCTGTCTAACGAACATCACGTTATGGTCTGTCTGGCTAACGAACATCACGGTATGGTCTGTCTGGCTAACAAACATCACGTTATGGCCTGGCTAACGAACATCGCGTTATGGTCTGTCTGGCTAACAAACATCACGTTATGGTCTGTCTGGCTAACAAACATCACGTTATGGTCTGTCTGGCTAACAAACATCACGTTATGGTCTGTCTGGCTAACAAACATCACGTTATGGTCTGTCTGGCTAACAAACATCACGTTATGGTCAATCTAACGAACATCACGTTATGGTCTGTCTGGCTAACGAACATCACGTTATGGTCTGTCTGGCTAACAAACATCACGTTATGGTCTGTCTGGCTAACAAACATCACGTTATGGTCTGTCTGGCTAACAAACATCACGTTATGGTCTGTCTGGCTAACGAACATCACGTTATGGTCTGTCTGTCTAACGAACATCACGTTATGGTCTATCTGGCTAACGAACATCACGTTATGGTCTGTCTGTCTAACGAACATCACATTATGGTCTGGCTAACGAACATCACGTTATGTCCTGTCTGTGTAAGAGATTTGCAGGTCGGGAGGGTGGTGTAAAGGAGAGAAGGGAGAAATATTGAACAGAGGTAAGCAAAAGTAAATAAACTGATGACAGATCGGTTAGCATCGATTATTCTACATCAAAGCAATAGTTCCGTAACATGGTTACCACAAATAGAGAACACTAGACTGCCCGTTTTCTAGTTAGATAACGGTGTATTTCGGGGTCATCCATAAATGAAATCACGTCGGTCACTTATCATCACAAAATAACCAGAACCCACATTAAAAAACGCGTCCCATCTCAGACGTTTTTGTCTTTTAAAAACACTGATTTCATCTAAGCATGGGTCTGACAAAATTATCTCTTCATATGCTGAGGTCAACTCTACTTCACCTGCCCAGTGTCCTACCAACTCAGATATGTTTTTGTCTTTGAAAACACAGATTTTGGCTGAGCATGGATCTGACCACACTATCTCTTCATATGCTGACGTCAAAGGTGAACTTTGCACCTACCCAACAGTACTAAAATATCAAACTATATATAGAGAAAAATGATAATTCCATGTAATTAAGTGATTAATTTGAGTGTTAAATAGTCTTTTAAGAGGTGCAAATCGAAAGTTTGATGGAGGGGGTGCAAATCTCTACGTCTATGGGGGGTGACACCATTAAATGCCGCAACAGGTGACACCCGACCTCGCTACGCCACTGCCTAATGTGCTAACCTCTTAGGTGTCTAGGCTCGTGCTCTCGAGTAGGATTAAAACTTATATATTTAACTTTTAGTCATCGTAAGAATCTACACCAATCGGCCCAAGAATTAGATCTATAATTATTTCAAATTAAATGTTATCTTAGATTAGTCCATTGCATAGCTAAACAAACAAAGATTTATATAAAATAATGAAAGTCTGAAATAGTTTAGTATAGAAACTCAGAAACTCGTTATTATCTAGATCTAGATTTCTAAGACTGGTTTGATTAAGTCTAGTTGTTTTTGTAACTCTTGCTAGATCTAGAGTCAACTCTAGATCTAGACCCTAGATAGATAGATACATCGCTTGTATTCTTAAAGCTAAAAAGCATAGATTTATATCAAGTATTTAAGGATTAAAATAGTTTAATAAAGAAACTCAAAAATGTATTCTGATTTTAAAATGAATTGTATTTTTAAATAAACAATGTTGGTTTGACCTACATTCAAGGTCTAGTTCTATAAATAACTTTCTTCGACAGCTGATGCTTATAGATTCTAGATCTAGTGAAATTTATTGTATAGGTCTACTTAAATGAAATTTGTGTTGAAAATTGATATTAGTGTTGGAAGCTATAGAGCTATAGCCGACAGAAAATTAGTTTTAGAACGCCTTAAACGTTGAAATGGGCAATGAAATATTGTATTGAAGCTGCCGTTTATTGTACTAAAAAGTAAACAATTCATGTGACGTCACTACTCACTCTAAGTAAAGTAGTTGTTTTGAACTTTTAAAATTAATATGGTTAATCTACCAATAAATAAATCAATAAATTATTTAACTTCTTTAAATAAATGTGTGATTAACAGTCTGAAAATTAAAATTGTTCTCTACCTACATACTATTTTACAGCTCTACACATAGTGCAGATTCTCTCTTGTAGCCAATCGGACAAACAAAAAAAAGCAAAAAATAAATACTCAAACATGTAAACAAACTTCAGTTTTAGTATTATATAGATAGATTTACCATTAATTCATTATTGTTTTAAAATAATTCTTTATTTATTTTCATATATTTTTTTTATTTTTTAAAATCACACTTACCGATCAAATGAACATTTTTTGACAACTTTGAATTAGTATTTTCAATATTGTCAGCCTAAATTAAATACAATTAAAATTATATAAATGAAATAATCACATAGTTACGTATGACATACAATAGCTGAAAAAAATTGGAAATGGCTTGTGAGAATACAAAATAATTTAAAGCTATTTATAAATCTAAATTAATTAACGTAAACAGAGGGTATTGACTGGACAAATAAAATAGTGTTAATAGTTTATGCATAGATTTATTAATGTTGCAAATAATTTTAAATAAATTTTTTACGAACACACCTTATTTATTCTTTCTTTCCTAGTTTCCAAGTTCTGGTTAAAGATTTGAATCAGTTTGTCAATGGGCATCAATCGTTGTTGTAGGAGTTTGTACATCACATTGTGCTAAATGGATTATTACAAATGCGACTACTTCAATTCCAGATTAAAATTGCAGACTTAAAATAAGTTTCAAAATCAAAAGTATTACTGGTGAGAAAATTCAATTAACTAACTTTTAATTACATGTTACAATTCGGTTATAATGTACGGAGTTGGTAAACCGGTAAGTAGGTGTATAATTGTTGACACGCTTAATTAGAAATTTAAATGTTTACCTTTGATTGTGTTTTATCTGTGTGATCTTGCATCTCTTTATTTATTGTGTCCAATTTGTTTTCATATTCTTTCATATCTAGAGACAGTTTTTCTAGTGTTTTGTTTGACTTGGTTTCTTTTTCTTTTAAACTTTCAATTTCTTTGTTCAGCTGCTTTACGTTGTTATCTTGTTCACTCATTTGCTTTCTGAGGTTTTTAAAATTCTGCTTTTGTTTTTTAGTGAGTTTTTCAATGTGTACCCCCAAATCACTCTGTTCTGTCACAAAATTGACTCTCCATTGTTTTATTTTGGATATGTCATCTGTAGACTTGTCATTGGCGTCTTGTAGAGAAGATATGACTGTCTCTATCTGCTCAAGTCGACTGACGTCTTGTAGAGAAGATATGGCTGTCTCTATCTGCTCAAGTCGACTGACGTCTTGTAGAGAAGATATGGATGTCTCTATCTGCTCAAGTCGACTGACGTCTTGTAGAGAAGATATGGCTGTCTCTATCTGCTCAAGTCGACTGACGTCTTGTAGAGAAGATATGGCTGTCTCTATCTGCTCAAGTCGACTGACGTCTTGTAGAGAAGATATGGCTGTCTCTATCTGCTCAAGTCGACTGACGTCTTGTAGAGAAGATATGGCTGTCTCTATCTGCTCTAGTCGACTGACGTCTTGTAGAGAAGATATGGCTGTCTCTATCTGCTCAAGTCGACTGACGTCTTGTAGAGAAGATATGGCTGTCTCTATCTGCTCAAGTCGACTGACGTCTTGTAGAGAAGATATGGCTGTCTCTATCTGCTCAAGTCGACTGACGTCTTGTAGAGAAGATATGGCTGTCTCTATCTGCTCAAGTCGACTGACGTCTTGTAGAGAAGATATGGCTGTCTCTATCTGCTCAAGTCGACTGACGTCTTGTAGAGAAGATATGGCTGTCTCTATCTGCTCAAGTCGACTGACGTCTTGTAGAGAAGATATGGCTGTCTCTATCTGCTCAAGTCGACTGAATACTTCTATAATATAATACATTTAATGTATTCAAAGTATTGATATTGTTTAGTTACTAAAAGAGCCTGGTACGTCGGACTCCCAAGTCCCCTACATATTAGCGTGGGGGAGGAGAGGTGCAAGACTGCCGGAAACCAATAGGGGTTTGCTCTCGACCCTAACCAGATATCTTGACTTTAAGCTGCGGCCTTCACGTGGCTTCGGAAGAGTACCACTAGTCGGACCAAGCTCATGACCTCCCTAGTGGGTGCAGGATGGCTAGTGGTAGCCAACAGCAGCTAGAAGTTTTTGATCTGGCCGAGTGGAACTGCTGTATGCGTTCGGCTCTTCCGAAGAGCCTAGTACGTCGGACTCATAAGTCCAAGACTGCCAGGAACCAAAACAGTCCGCCGCCAGATTCTTTTGACTTTAAGCTGCGGCCTTAACTGGGCTTCGGAATAATGCCACTGGTCCGACCAAACTCACGTCCCCCCTAGTGGGTGCGGAATGGCCAGTGGCAGATAACAGCAGCTAGAGGGTTTTGATCTGGCGGAATGCCCCCCACGATCAAGCTGGGTACCAGGCGGTAGGACGACGTCCCGCGTCTGGTGGGTGGGGAAGGAAATCCCGGTGAGAGCCCACGGAAGTAGCGACCGATGTGTGGGAAACTCTCTCGGGGTTTGCCACACTGAGGCCTGCCTGGCTAATGGAAGTGAACCTTCTGAGCCGGTTTCCGTATCAGGAAGGAAGTTATTAAAAAATACTTATTCTTTGAAGAAATTAAATTTTAAAAGCATTTTAATTTGTTTTAAAAATCGTTAATACCAGATTGTATTTGGTTTGATTCATTATGGTCACGTTTTTCTGTTCCTGTTGTGTGTGGTGTTGACTGAAATAAAGATGGCGTCCCTCCCTCGACAATTACGACATCATCTGGTTGATACGGAGCAAACATGTATTGTATTATTAAGAAATCAATTATGTAATTAATTTGGTAACTAACTTTAAACTTGCTATTTTAGTTGAGTAATTTTCTACAAGTCGTTATGGTGTGTTGATAATATTTATTTAAAAATAGTACTAAGCGTGTCATTTATAATTACTTGTAAGATTTGTAATTTTATCTAACTTAGATGCGTGTTCTACATTCTCTAGTTCTGGTATCTTACTACATAATTTTAAAACAAAATGTATTATACACTATCAAGAAATATTTACTTATAATATATGACGCTGCATCCATTATGGCCGTGGTCGCTGATTCAAGTTCCTGGTATAACTCGATATAGGTGATAGACGGGTTGTTATTTTTATCTTCTATCCAAATCTTACTTTTATCTACGGCCTGATGATATTAAAAACATCTTTTAGTTAAGAAACAAATATATAACTTATTAAGATGCATGTTTTGTGTAATATAACAATATAGTGATAGAAGGTACCGTGTGTGCATTAACGATCGCACACCTTTTTGATTTCTGAAATAGCAGGTTCTAAAACTTGAATCTTTTCTTCCAAATATTTCATATGCTCCTTGACAAGCTTGACTTGAATTTTTGACCGCATCTAAAAGTAAAAATAAATAAGCTTAATGCATTTAATTACTCCACAAACAATGTTACTATGTTTTTTTAAAATTATTATTTGGTCATTATTTTTATTGTTAGTTCATGTTTTTAATAATTACTTAACATTAAGTCATTATATTCATCTTTTAGAAAATGGCACGTTTCGAAATAGCGCTGTCACAGATCAACTAAATTATTCAAATTATTTCATGTGTTCGTTGCCGTGGCAGGATGATGATATATTGTGTTAACGATATGATTGACCTCACATAGCTATATGTAAACTTACATTTGACTGAAGAAACAATACTAAGTTCTAAACTGTGTGGCACTTGATTTAATCACTCTAGTTCCAATACAATAACAAAATATGGCGTTACTTAAAAACAACATTGTATAAAGTCATGAACACAAGTTGCAGCTACCATGTAGCATTGCCTGCTTTAGGTGTACTTTGTACTGACCTGTTCTTTGGCTTAATTTCATACCTTTTATCTTAGTTTAATATAAACATATGTAGCATCATATCGTGTTATCATTGTCTAGTTTTATCACTTATATCAGCTATAGTTCAGGTATGATCAAATCAAACAGTACATGACTGATAGACTGTTTATAAGCTAAATTGTATGTCTGTCAGTGATACATTTGCCTGCATTACACTTAGTCAGTGTAAAGTAAATAACAAGCAAATAAGATGGGTGAAATATAAACCTCGGATCTCGGCCTTTTAAAATCTCAGTGGCCGCCCATGTTAATGACGAGCCATTGATATGAAAATGATAAGTGTTCTCTTCACGCTGATCATTTCAAGTTTTCACAACCAAGAAATCCACCAACCTTTTTGAAAAGCATGTTCTTGTTGTGTAGTGTTAGACACATATTTAAGAGTGAAGAAATTGACATTATATTTTGACATGGTTTTTCAGATGTTTGCTTATCATATGTCTATAGTGAAGATACAAATACTATTGCTAAAAGCGATACCACATTAACTAGGTTTTTCAACAACACATGAGACAGCAATGGGCATTAACCAATTTACAATTAGAACCTATTTTATTAGGCTCACCGTGAATAGTAAAAAATATATTTCCAATAGAAATAAAAATGTTACGTTTGAAAAATACAATTATATGAATCAAGTATAGAGTAAAATTTATGATTGTCAAATCAGTTTAACTGCATCCATTTTTAATTATTTTCTTATTTAGGACTTAATAATATTACAAATATACATTCTTATTATTATATTCAGAAAAAATAACGCTAGGTAGAGTTATAAAACAGTCATGATATCTCCAGTGTATAAAGTAAATAATCCTCTTCACACGTAGCGATCCACTAGGTAGACGAAGTGACGAAGTAGAGTTCTTGTTTTTCTTGACCTCGGCATATGAACAGAAGTTTTAGTTATAGAGTTAGGTGGACATTAGAGCTAAGCGGACTCTGGGACGCTGAACTTGCTTGATCCATATTCTATTTTAAGACTTTTGGGTTAAAAGAACTTTTACTCTATCGCATTGCCACGCCGTTACCTCTTCAGTGTATGAAGTTAATTATAAGCTCACGAACCGACCCGCGGCATATCATACGCTTTTAAGTTGTTTTATTTTCTACATTTCAGTAATTCATAATTTGTGAATTCGACAGTACCACCGCTGCTACTGAAAATATTTGCTTTAAAAATCTATCAGTAGCTCGTTAAGGACGATAAACCCCCGCCCCCTTCTTTCCCCAACCCCTACTCTACCCCCACCACTACCCCCCGTGAAAGTAAACTCTTAGTTAACTCCAGTAATTTTAAAATCGTTTCAAACTAAATTACCTGCCCCTAATAGCCGTCACTAAACCCGGCTCTACGATTGTAAACATTTAGAGTGAACCACATCTCACCAGACCATGTAGGGGGGGGGGTGATACAGCTTGGTGTTTTCTATCGTCTCCAAAAAGCGAATTATATATATAGATAGCGAGAGTCAACCCTTTATGGGTTGATCAACTGAGTTTATATTTTGATTTTAAATTTTTGATTTACAAATACAACTACATTCCATTCAGCTAAATTTTTAAAATAGTGAAACCGCTTCATTTTTGCAGGAAAGACCATGGTCCTGATTCTTGAGCTTTAAAATATAGTTCTTGACCTTTCTTCATCGGAACTACAGTTGATCCGCAAGCAGAAATATTGTCAGGTTTCACATAAATAGTTTTATACTTTAGTTCTCCAACTGCTACTTGAACCAAATTCGGATTATTTCCACCGGCTACTAACGTCACAATAACCAGATATAAACCATCATCTGGTGCTTCAAGTTTTCCTGTTGTTCGATTAAAATGGCTGCCGTTATGTTACCTCAGCACCATTACAATTTACAATAAACTTTTTAACTGGGATACATTTTTCTAAAAGATACTCTTATTTTACAACATAGCTGCTTCATGTCGCATCGATGTAAAGAAATGTTTTAAGATAGAATAATTAAAATACATTACATTATAAGGGGAGCCGAAAGTTTTCCTAAAAGACATTTGCCCGAAGTCCGATTTTTCAAACGGACACTTGCCTGAATGTGACAACTGCCCGAATTTCAGTGTAATGTTGTATTGGTACTTGCTATTTTAATTTGTTTTAATAAGAAGCAGGTTTTACAATAGGCCACAAGCTGAAGTTACTACCGGTTGAATACGTTTGTTATTTAAATTAGCACGGTTCAGTAGACAAAATATTTTGTAATATTATTTCTTCTTTTGAGAATGATAAGCTTTTAATTGAAGTGAAAATAAGAAATAAACCCAACTTGCTTATTTAAAAAAAAGAAGTTATTGATAAAAATGTGTAGACTATATGAATTCCTGATCGATCAAAGCATTTTTTTTTCTTTATTCAGTTCATTTCAAATATTATAATTATGTAAAATATATTTGGTTTAGTTGAAAACCCACACCCTACATCCATTCATGTATATTTTTCAGGTAATTCGATATAACATGAACATGTATGTGTTTATGTTAATGTTGACATTGTAAAGTGTTTAAACTACCCACCAGAACTTTCTCGATTAGAGATGACGTAGTCGACTCTAGCCCGAAATCCAAACCCGACACTTTCAGGTTATCACATGACATACCACACGACCACACCGTTCCAATGTTAAAGACTGAAAACTGTAACGGTCGACTTCAGCCTTGGCGTGAGTTACTTTAATTTGTGCTTTCACACGCGATGCTAACAATGGATCTTTATGTCATAAGTGGGGCCTATGATACCCGCAGTTGTGCAGTGAGAGGGTATTCAATACCATTATGTTCATCTCTAACCAGTCAGTAGTTCTTCCTGTCCGAAGAGCCAGGTACGTCGGACTCCCAAGTCCCCTGCATAATAGCGTGGGGGAAGAGAGATGCAAGACTGCCGGGAACCAAGAAGGGTTTGCTCTCGACCCTAACTTTAAGCTGCGGCCTTCACGTGGCTTTAGAAGAGTGCCACTAGTCGGACCAAGCCCATGACCCCCTAGTGGGTGCAGAATGGCTAGTGGTAGCCAACAGCAGCTAGAGGTTTTTGATCTGGCCGAGTAGAACTGCTGAATGCGCTAAGTTCAAAGAATGGCCGAGCGTCCCCCACGATCAAGCTGGGCACCAGGCGGTAGGATGGCGTCCCGCGTCTGGTGGGTGGGTGGGGAAGGAAAGCCCGGTGAGAGCCCACGGAAGTAGCGACCGATGTGTGGGAAACTCTTGTGGTCGGAGTTTGCTACACTGAGGCCTGCCTGGCTAATGGAAGTCAACCTTCTGAGCCGGTTTCCGTATAAGGAAGGAAGGAAGTAGTTCTTCCTAAAGTTTCAACATAGAACAGGACGACATTAACGTAGATTCGACAGGATGACAGCAGTTAACTTCAATAGTTTTTATTCTATAAAAATACATAAAACGGCTTGAACAAACGATACTTAGACTTGACTACACTATGACTGAACGAATGTAATGATCACAACAACAGTTACTTCCAGTAGGCCTATAGCAAAAACATACTTTTTTCTTAACATATTCATAATTTGGATTAGCTTTTTGAAATACTTAATAAGATAAATATTGTGTTTATCTAGTAAACGTATTCAAGCCTTCGTTTTTTAAATAGTTAATTTTATTAGGGGCAAATTTATAGATTTTAATTACATATTCAACAAGAACAATACGTTCATCTTTAAATCATACCATGTAGTTATACAAATTAAACAACAGATTTTAATCATACACCTAGCACTCACATACAGAGAAGATGATGATGGCATTGAATTAGATGGAGCTGTGTAATAATGACTAAACAAATAACATATAAACCATTAAAGTTTATGTAAACATGTAGTCTATACACATAATAAGTTGTTAGCGTGTGTTTAATAAGTTGGTTACATGTTTTATTGTTTTGAGAATTTACCATCCACCATGTTTTGTGTTGTAACTCTATAAACTAACGATAGTAAAACTACTGAAGCTGGATAACTTTGCGCCTTGTTCTGCGAGATACACTTCAAAATAAAGTTCTTGACCTTTCTTCAAGTCAACAACCACTGACCCAGCAGCGCTTGTGTCGGCACATTTCACTTCTATAAACTTAAACCACCTGCTTTCAGTCCTAACTCCAACTACAATCCGTTTATCTTCACTTTCATTTAGAGTGACACAGACAAGATATAAACCATCATGTGGGGATACAAATGTTCCTGTTGTTTGATTAAAATGTTGACCGTTGTATTCACGTACTTCTTTAAATCTTGAAATAATTAATCCATCACTGACAGGTGTGGAATCAAGCGTCACATGACAAGCAAATATGTTACAGACGCGTGCCTCTGTTGATTGAAAAACATATGTATAATGAACATTTTTAATTTTACATATGCTCTGACTATTTGATTCATACAATGTGCATTTACATTAACTATTTGAAATAGTTTCATTTTTTTTCTTTTAATTACTTTTAACTATTTGATTAGTACCGCCCTAGGTTTTAGTGTTCTTAGTTTATTACATAAGACGATTTGAAACTATAAATTTTATACACGTGTAGCAGGTGATGTAATAAGTCACCAAAAGTAAAACAAATACTATATACGTGCATTACATTCTGTATGTGTTCACATTATAGTTTAATTGTAGAAAGTTTATCTATTGAAACAAAAAACAAATTTTATTCTGTTGTACATATCAAATTCTGATACAACATGTGACACGATAAGTACAATCAACATTAACTATTGTTTATTTCACGTTAGTTTAAATAGTTAGATAATAAGATATTAAAAATTTAACATTTTTTTGTGTAATGGATATTTTATTTTAGATTTAATTCCTGGTTTTAATGCGACACAACTTTAAAAGTAGAAACGTAAAAGTATGAAATGACGGTAATTAAAATTCGTTAATTTTAAACTGCAGCTCTGTAAATGTCTTACTGCACTGTGGTGGACCGTTGTAGGTCGACCCCCGACATACCAGGTGGTGTAATGTACCAGGTGGTGTAATGTACCAGGTGAGGAAACAAACACCTGACGGAAACCCACGGGTCTAGAGACTGGCACTATGGGTGAGTGAAATGTTCCATTCTTTATCACGTTATGGTCTGTCTGGCTAACGAACATCACGTTATGGTCTGTCTGGCTAACGAACATCGCGTTATGGTCTGTCTGGCTAACGAACATCACGCTATGGTCTTTCTGGCTAACGAACATCACGTTATGGTCTGTCTGGCTAACGAACATCACGTTATGGTCTGTCTGGCTAACGAACATCACGTTATGGTCTGTCTGGCTAACGAACATCACGTTATGGTCTGTCTGGCTAACGAACATCATGTTATGGTCTGTCTGGCTAACGAACATCACGTTATGGTCTGTCTGGCTAACGAACATCACGTTATGGTCTGTCTGGCTAACGAACATCACGTTATGGCCTGTCTGGCTAACGAACATCACGTTATGGTCTGTCTGGCTAACGAACATCACGTTATGGTCTGTCTGGCTAACGAACATCACGTTATGGTCTGTCTGGCTAACGAACATCACGTTATGGTCTGTCTGGCTAACGAACATCACGTTATGGTCTGTCTGGCTAACGAACATCAGGTTATGGCCTGGCTAACGAACGTCACGTAATGTTTTTGGAAAAAAAATTCAGGCAAACCTACCTAATAGATTAAAATCTTTGGACAACACTGACATAGTAGCTTCAATAGTTTCAAGCTAAAAAAAAGATGTTATAAAATGAGTGCAAAAATCTCTTAGTTACTTAATGTATACGATAGCTGCATTGATGTTAACTGGTTATGGCAACTTGTAAGAATATTAAATAATTTAAAGGATGTGTTATTTTTTAAATTATAGATGTATCATTTAATTTAAGAAAACATGTATTAACTGCTCTATTGACATAGTGTTAATAACTTTGGCCTGATTTATCAACGTTGTAATTTAATTTTTAATAAAATTACTACACGTATACCTTTGTAATTCTTTCTACCCTAGTTTCCAACTTCTGGTTAAAGATTTGAATCAGTTTGTCAATGGGCATCAATCTCTGTTGTAGGAGTTTGTGCAATACATTTTGCTAAACATCAAAACATTATATAAAAGTATTATAATTTTGCACATTATATGTAACATAAACATGTGTCTTAACATTAGTAAGTATATTAAAGTATAACTGCTGATAAAACTTCTAAGTTGTTTTTTTAATTTAACCTGCTTATAATAAGCTATCTGGCGAGTGTGTGTAAAATTGTGAATACACATAATTAGTAATTTTACCTTTTCTAATTGAGTTGATGTATTACACAAGATTTTATCACACTCCTCTTGTAGGGCAGCCATCAGATCCGAATGTCTTTTAATTTCCTGTGTTATACTGTCTATTTTGTCTGCGTAATCTTGCATCTCTTTATTTATTTTGTGTAAGTTGTTTTCGTATTCTTTCATATATAGAGACATTTTCTCTAGTGTTTTGTTTGAATTTGATTCTTTTTCTTTTAAACTTTCAATTTCTTTGTTCAGCTCTTTTGTTTTGTTATCTTGTTCACTCATTTGTTTTCTGAGGTTTTTAAAATTCTGCTTTTGTTTTTTAGTCAGTTGTTCAATGCTTACCCCCATGTCACAATGTTCTGTTACAAAGTTGTCTCTCCATTGTTTTATTTCTGATATGTCATCTGTAGACTTATGTTGTTTGTCCTGTAGCGAAGATAGTGTTGTTTCAATAAAGGCGAGTCTACGCTCTAGGTCAGGATGTTCTTCAACTGAGAATAGTCGCATATATATGTATGTAATTTAAAATGTCCTAAATCTTGAAAATCAGGGTGTTCAAAACGAATTTAAACCAAAGTATCAAACGTAAGTTGGTTTACAAAATACAATACATGTACATATTTTAAAATTATATCCACTATATGATGCTATATAATGTGTTATACCAAAGCATACTATAATATACCAGCTGTGTGTTGAACTTGTGTCTTGAGTTGTCTTGTTGATTCTCCTGTTAGAAATGTTGCTGTTGTCTGTGTTTCAGACTGTGGTAAAGATGGCGTTGGTTTGTTGACATGCATGTTGTCCTCGTCTGATGAATTCGGATTTAGAATTTTATTTTAATTGCAGTTAAAGTGAACAAAGATTTTTATAGTACACACAATAAATGTTGCTTTTTTAGCTAGTTAAACCATAACGCAAGCCTTGTTATACTCTGATCAAAAACAACTTTGAATATGATCCAAACGTATACAAATACAAATAATTCCAAAATAATCGAAATCTATATATTGTTTTAAATTTAACTTTTACAAGAATAATTATTGATTTTATAATGAAAAGTAATTTTAAAAAAAAACTTTAAGGCTCTTCAACGTTGTTTTAGGGCAAATAAGGTTACACGATGTGATTGTAAAAATCTTTTTTTTTTGTTCATATAATGGTTTACAAGATTCACTAATGTGACGTAGATTTCATAGAAAAGAGGAAAGTGGTTTGTTAGACAGTAAAATTATATCTCTTTAACTTAGTATATGTAATGCCTGTAAACTAAACTGTAAAACAATTTCGTTGCATTTTTCTCAGTAGAAACACTTCATTACTGAACACACATGACACATGACAGTAGGCTTTGAGATTTTAAATTATAAAAACTATTAGAGTACTGACCTAAAATATGTGACGTCACATCCAACAAGGCCGTGGCTGCTGTGTCCAGTTCTTGTGATAGCTCGATGTAGCTGACAGATGATTGGTCAGTTTTTTCTTCTAGCCACGCCTTACTTTTTGCAACAACCTGGTTAAAGCAAACAACAACAAAATTGTCAATTGGTCACGTTTTGAAGTGCTATATTCCTAAACACGTGTTGTTGTTCTGTGTTTTTTAACACATGCACTTCGAAAAACGCTAAACCTACTTTATCGTAAATAAAATAATTGTTACATTTTAAGTATTACGAAGACTTTTTAGTTTGTGATGACTTACATTTTTCATATTTCCCAAAACAGGTTCCAAAACTTGTATCTGTTCTTCCAAATATTTCTTGCGCTCTGTAACAAACTTGACGTGAATTCTTGAAGGCATCTAAATGTTAATAACACTAAATTAAAAAAAAAATGTTAACTCTGTCATCATCACAAAGCAAAACTAAAGCAGTGTTTCTTCTGGCAGATAAGGCTCGATCCCTGTCAAAACTAAATATTAAGAGCGAAGAAGAAGTGTTTCTTCAAGGTACCCCCCCCCCCCCCCATCGAAGATAGTCTACCGCCCCCGTAAAGAAATATTGAAAATATATACTTTTAACAGTATTCGCCCCCCCCCCCCCCGCCATTAAATTTTAGTTCGCCCGCATCCCCCCGCCCCACGAAAATTTCAAGTGCCACACTTTATCTACTGACGGTACCATACATAAGCCTGGCTCTTAAATTATTTTAATTTAAGGTGAATCTTTATAATCATTTATATATTTATAATCTTTCTTGAGTCAAGAATAATTTTAGTGTACCACGTGTAATATAAAAATTCATTGTTTAAGAAAAAAATATTTCATCCAATAATTAATTCAGTAAATAAAGAGTTAATTATAACAATGAAATAAAATCCAAGTTTTTGTCATAAATTATTAAACTATAACTGGCAATCCACTATTAAATGAAAACTACTTTAAATACTGTTATATTTCTTTTTTAGATCTGTTAACTAATGTAGTTAATTATGTAAAACATTACAGAAAAATGCGATAGTTTTCCTTGGTTTCACTTATGTAATTTCCTGCTTGCTAAAAATATACACTTGGGTATTTCCGTTTTTCACTTTCATTATCTATCCAGCGTTGTGATAAACTATTTTACAATTTGTCTGTGAATTGCCTAAATATACAGTAATAAAATACGTTTTTTATAAAACGACCTACATACTTTTCTATTAATAAGTAAATTTTAAGGAAATTATATATTATCAAGCTTTATAATTAAGACAATATAGGCTTAGTTATAATAACTGAGTAAGAATTAAGGAAACAGAAGAGCTTTTGATTTTGTTTAAAATTCATTATTTTTAGGTTGTTTGGTTATATTAAAAGGAAATGCTATTTTAAAAATAGATGAAATAGATTAAAGATTAGCAGTACCTTAAGTAGGGCTATTTTTGTTGTGGGGAATCAAAGGACTGGAATTGTGTAGATTAGCATAACTTCCTCTGTTGAATAATAGCGGGTTTTCCCGATCGCGTTATCATTATTAGAGTTATCTCTCTTGTATTGATGATTTAACTACGTGTAGATCAGCCACAACAATAAATTTATTTCATCAAAACAACATTCGATCTAAAGGTAAGTAAACAATTATAGCTCAAATTCGTATCGATTTAAATATTTACACAGCGACCAACGTGGGTGAAGTTCAAATGCGAAATTAAAGCACAATAGGTCATAAGTCGAGGCGGAAAAATGCGATATTGAAGCACGATATGTCAACTGTCGAGGCGGTAAAATGCGAAATTGAATCACGAAGTGTCATATGTCGAGGGAGTAAAATGCGAGCTTAAGCTGAAGTTAAAACCGTATTTACGTCACTTTTTTGTCTCGCAGTTTAAATTTTCCTATGGTACTATTGCACCTGCAGTCAGAAGAAGCTTAGCGACCGGGGCGAACTATTAAGTGTGAGCCCCTTCTTACTCAAATTATATTTAGTGACGTTAGATTAAAGATTAACAGTACCTTAATTAAGCCTACTCTTGTTGTTTTAAACTAATAGTTTTAAATGAAGCTAGTGGGTTCTAAAAAAAAAAAACGACCGTGTTAGTAATGTTTTATCTGGGATAAGAAATTTAAAATGATGTGTTTTAATATTTAATTTCTAGTGCTTTGATACATGTCGCATGCTGATTGGCTCAAGATTGTTGTTCACGTGATTGTTATCAATGTTAAGTGTAAAAATAAGTTTACTTTATAGAACTGTAGGATAAAAGGGTTATAATTTGATTGCATAGATCTATTTGTTCAACTTGAATGACTTATACCCTTTGATACCTATAAGAATCGACATATTAGATTCAATGGTAATGCTATATTGATGCACTGCGAGTAATTAGTATCGTTTTGTTGATTTTTCCTTAATTGCTGCGCTTTTCCTTTTAACAATTACTCATTGAAATGATGTTATTTTTGGTTTGATTTTGATTAATAATAATTATAATATAATAAAAATGTTTTCAAAGTAAACATTAACTGCTTTTGGCTTTAAAGTTTTATTTTTATTTTATTTTTTCTGAGGAGTTCTGTTGTGGATGGACTTTGGTGTTTTGAATGTGTTTGAGAGTATTTTGTAATGTGTTTAATAAAGATGTGAGAGTTTGAGAGTATGTGTGTAGTTGAATGTGTTTGAGAGTATGTGTGTAGTTGGATGTGTTTATTAGAGATGTGAGAGTTTGAGAACAAGTGTGTAGTGTGATTAATGAAAGATTCTGAATGCGTGACAAAGTAAATAAGGATGTGACGTAGGAGAGTATGTGTTGGTTGTTAGGGGAAAAAAGTAGAAGTCAGTCTTGGTCTTGTTGTCGTCGTGTTAGGATCTAGAAATCTTCGTCCTGTGTCGGTCGTCGATTTAGTAGTGTAAAGTTTATGTAATGAAATATAATAATAAAAGAACGCCGTCCTTTCTTATTTCTGTATTGGATCGTCATACCTTGTTTTTCAACCTCCAGCATCGACCCTATCCCAAGTACTCACATCATAACAAGTACAAACTACTTTAACACTTCAAAGTAAAATACGACTAACCTTAAATTTTTTTAGTGTGAGTGCTAAAATAAAGAAATTATAACAAGATGAATATTAGTTATGATGGGTTTGATGTTAGTCTGAATAAAAAGATGTACAACAATATTTTTGTGACCAGCGTTTTATAAATTTTTATTTGTATTTTTTAGGGATTAGGGCACATCGTTTTAACTCAATTTTGACATACTTGGAATGCAACGACTAAGTTGTCGCACATTCATGTAGCGTATTTCGAATATATATTTTCACCTCATTTTAGTCTTAAATTAATTAGTTAAAAGTAAATAAGTTAATCGAATTAATAAAAGGGGAGATAACAACAAAGGTACTGCAACCTATTCTAGCGCTTGAAGCCAACTATTAGGTCTGTGCCTCTCATTCTAAAAAAAAAGTGTTTAGAGTATATAAAGTGCCATTTACTAGTTACTTCCCCTGTAAAAAAACCACTGGAGGCAATATTTAAATCTATATGTAAAGACTTGTAGCAGAGTATTTTTTTATACAGTTTGCTAGTGCCGCTTGGGAGAAATTCAACACCTGCTTTGTTTTCCTTACCATCCTCACCGCTAGTGTTTTAATTGATAACAATACATTGCCTTTATTTAAATGTCAAAATGTTATGCTCTATATGGCACGCTAAAATTGCATTCAGTCTGCATTTATTTCTGGCTTTGATTCCATAGCATGTGTCCATCCAAGAACTATAAGAAAATAAATCAAACGTGCTTATTTCAATAAAAGAAGTTGTCGATAAAATTTTCCTGAGCGACCAAAGCAAATTTGTTTTCTTTTTCCTGATCATTTCAAAAGATTATGATTATGTAAAATACATTTGTTTTATTTGAAAATCAATTCCCTACATCCATTCCTGTATACTTTTTCAGGTGATTCGATTTAACACGAACATGTATGTGTTTATGTTAATGTTGACCTTGTAAAGTGTTTAAAGTACCCACCAGAACTTTCTCGATTGTTGATGACGTAGTCGACTGTAGCCCGAAATCCAAACCCGACACTTTCAGGTTATCACATGACATACCACACGACCACACCGTTCACATGTTAAAGAATGAAAAGGGTAAAGGTCGACTTCAGCCTTGGTGTGAGTTACTTTAATTTGTGCTTTCTTACGCGATGTTATCAATGGATCTTTATGTTATAACTGGGGTGTCTGTAACCTGCAGTTATGTAGTGAGAGGGTATTCAATGCCACTATGTTCCTCTCTAAACATTCCGTCGTTGTTCCTAGAGTTTCAACATAGAACAAGACGACATTAACGTAGAAATATGATTTGACAGGATGACAGCAGTTAACTCAATAGTTTTTACACTATGAATATACATAGGACGACTTGAACAAACGATAATGAGACTTGACTACACTACGACCTCACCCTAACACATATTCATGCGTTCATTATATCTTTCGCACCAATATTCGTTCACATTAACACGCATGATCAAACAAACATCATAACACTTAACTTGAGGCAAAAAATTGATTTTTTTTTTAAGTAGTTGAATTTTAAATTCAGTTCCTTTTTACCTAAATTATGTTTCTACTTTGTTATTAATTAAAAATGGAAATATCTACTATAGATCGAAGTTATAAAATAGACCTGAATTACCGCTTTTAGTTAATTTTGTCAGCGAATGCGGGAATTAAAAAAAAATGTCGGAGATGTTTATGTCATTGTCTGTTTAAAAACATCCCTATTTATACTGCCACTTGATGGTGTATTCCATCTCATTGTATCACGGACTAAATGTACATAACCTGTTATATGTGTGTTGACATATAAAAAATATTCAAAATAAAATCTGCCAATCTAACCCTGCCCTATCACACGATGATTATAATGTAAGCAGTTGGGAGTTGGAATACAAGCTAACAAAACTATAAATATAACACAATTTTAAGATATAGATATATATAGATAGTTATATGGGTTGTGTGTTCATTTACTGATAAAACGATACTTAATACAAAAATAGGGATTTTTAATGTAGGATAATTGTAGTCTTTTTTTTAATTGAACGAATGTATTGATTGCAATAACAGTTACTTCCAGTAGGCCTATAGCAAAAACATTTTTTTCTTGACAAATTCATAATTTGGATTAGCTTTTTTAATAAGATAAATATTGCTTTTGTCTAGTCAACGTATTCAAGCCTTCATCTTTTAAATCGTTAATTTTATTTGTGTCAAAGTTCTAGATTTTAATTACATATTCAACAAGAACCAGGGGTGGAACTACAGTGCCGCCAGACCCCGCAATGCGGGGGGGGGGGGGGGGTCCCACGCCATTTAAGGACCCAGAGCCGACCATTAATCAATTTTATTAAAGTTAAAAAATAGTAACAATTTTTTCATTTTTGACTTCATGGTTGTTTTGTAAAAAAATTACCGTAGCTGGGGTTGGATTATCTTTATTCTATAGACACCACCGCACGCTCTTGTATATTCTTTTTTCCCTTTGTTTTTAAACCACTGTAAAAGCCGAGTCTTTCTCCTACAATTAAACTTATCAAAGATAAGAAATGTTCAAACCACTTCCATGACTTATTTCCCTTTCAATAAAAATAGTCAAAATAGGGGTGATCATAAGCTCATTTTAATAGATTTAAACTAAACAAATTAAAAAGCAATTATTTCTCCTAATTATTATTTTTTTATAATTAATTAATAAAGAATGACATTGTATAAAAAGAAGATGCATTAAATCAATAATATTTTAAAAATTATAAATATAAATATTAAAAAAAAACATATAAATAAACATAACACGAGACACCATTACTTATGCAAAGCTTTCATGTTTTATATTAATTTTGACCAACTAGATGTAATGGCGATACTATCAGACATTAATTAAAACTGATTTTCACAAACACATTAATGCACTTACACACATGACATGATGTTAACATGTTTTTAAATTGATGCTTTTCAAATCCCGAACAGGCCAGCAATGAGTATTCCATGTTCGGATTTTGTGATTGCATATATAAATATAAATATATAAATATAAATATATAAATATAAATATATATATATACATTTATATGGGGGGGGGGCCTAAAAAAATTTTTGCGGGGTGGCCCTTTTTTTCTAGTTCCGCCACTGACAAGAACATTACGTTCATCTTAACTCAAAAAATGTGGGTATGCAAATCAAACAAAACATTTTAATCATACATCTAGCGCTCACATACAGAAAAGATGATGATGGCATTGAATTAGATGGAACTGTGTAATGGTGACTAAACAAATAACATATAAAACATTATAGTTTATGTAAACATGTAGTCTATACACATAATAAGTTGTTAGCGTGTGTTTAATAAGTTGGTTACATATTTTATTGTTTTTAAAATTTCACATCAACCATGTTATGTGTTGTACTTCTATAAACTAACAATAGTAAAACTACTGTCTTCGGATAACGTCGCGCCTTTATCAGCGTAACACACTTTAAAGTAAAGTTCTTGACGTTTCTTCATGTCAACAACCACTGACCCAGCAGCGCTAGTGTTGGCACATTTCACATCTATATCCGTATACCACTCGTCTCCAGACATCACACCAACTACAATTTGTTTATCTCCCCATTCATGTAGAGTGACACAGACAAGATATAAACCATCATGTGGTGATACAAATATTCCTGTTGTATGATTAAAATGTTGACCGTTATATTCACGTACTTCTTTAAATTTTGAAATCATTGATCCATCACTGACAGATGTGTGACCAGCAAGCCTTACATGACATGCATATCTGTTACATACACGTGACTCTGTTGATTAGAAAACATATGTATGATTTATATGTTTAATTTCATTTCACGAATGCTCTGAATATTTGACCCTTAATATTTGTGCATTGTCGTATCATTAGTTTTTGTTATTAACCCTAAACATAATCTCATTATGTATGTTTTGTATTCAGTTAAGGTAGAATGGCAAACCCAAATGAAATCATTGTTAACAAAAAAGAAAATTGTGTATAATAATCTCTAATGTTTACATAATTTTGTCTAAGACTACAAATTAAAACACTAGACCACTAGTTTAGTACGGTCCTCAGTTTTAGTGGTGTTGGTTTATCGTGTCCTACGTATTGAAACTACGAGTGTAGATGGTCAATTCATAGGTCACTAAAGGTATAACGAATGTTCAATGCGCTATACTATAATCGGATCTACGACTGATTCCCAAAAGACAATTGTTTGAATGGGACAAATGCCGAAATGGGCACTTGCCCAAATGCGACAAATCCCTTGCTCGTATGGGACTCCGTCTTAATTGAAATAAAAAAGGGAAGATGTAACGTTAATTGAAATACGTACATTTAAACTGTAGCTCTGTAATGTCTTACTGAACTAGGGTAGACCGCTGTAGGTCGACCCCCGGCATACCAGGTGGTGTAATGTACCAGGTGAGGAAACAAACACCTGACGGAAACCCACGGGTCTAGAGACTGGCATTATGGGTGAGTGAAATGTTCCATTCTTTATCACGTTATGGTCTGTCTGACTAACGAACATCACGTTATGGTCTGTCTGGCTAACGAACATCACGTTATGGTCTGTCTGGCTAACGAACATCACGTTATGGTCTGTTTGGCTAACGAACATCACGTTATGGTCTGTCTGGCTAACGAACATCACGTTATGGTCTGTCTGGCTAACGAATATCACGTTATGGTATGTCTGGCTAACGAACATCACGTTATGGTCTGTCTGGCTAACGAACATCACGTTATGGTCTGTCTGGCTAACGGACATCACGTTATGGTCTGTTTGGCTAACGAACATCACGTTATGGTCTGGCTAACGAACATCACGTTATGGTCTGTCTGGCTAACGAACATCATGTTATGGTCTGTCTGGCTAACGAATATCACGTTATGATCTGTCTGGCTAAAGAACATCACGTTATGATCTGTCTGGCTAACGAACAACACGTTATGGTCTGTCTGGCTAACGAACATCACGTTATAGCCTGTCTGGCTAATGAACATCACGTTATGGTCCATCTGGCTACTCAACTTTGTTTAACAAGTGTTTATGTCCGTGTAATAGAAAGGCAGAGAGTGAAAGATTTAGATAAAATCTTAGAACTTTAGGGTTGAATATTGAGCAAAGTAATGAAACGTATAAAACGATTACTGACTGGTTACTATTGAGATTTATATGACAGATTTTCCTTTTTTTACATTTAAACGAGAAAAATCAAAAGGTAGATTTGCATTCAATCACAGTTGTTACATTAATGTTTTTAAAAGCAAACTTACCTATGAGAGGAAAATCTTTGGACAACTTTGAAATAGTATTTTCAAGTTGGTCCAGCTAAATTAAAATAAATAAAAAAGTATCAAAAATCTAAACAGGCTATTACGTATGAATAGTCCACGGTTACCATAGATTATGACAACTTATAAGATAATGATTATACGTATATTGTTATTTAATTATTAAAGTTATTTCTTAGTAAATACTATATAGTCTAATTACAGACATTTATTGAGTAATGTAGTAATTATTAATGGTGTAAATTATTTTTTGTTTTTACAATCATTACAAACACACCTTATTAATTCTTTCTTTCCTAGTTTCCAAGTTCTGGTTAAAGATTTGAATCAGTTTGTCAATGGGCATCAATCTTTGTTGTAGGAGTTTGTACATAACACTGTGCTAAAGACGATCATCATTGAAGATTCATACATTTAAATATTTTTATTGTATATTTACATACAATTACCATTAAAATAAATGTGATGATTATAGTGAAAGTAATTCAACTGCCTTTTAATTAAATATTTGAAGTAAATTAACTGGAGCGTAAGAATATAATTGTGTACAAAATACTTGTCAATTTAAAAGATTACCTTAGAATGCAATTTTTCAAAACGGGTTGATGTTTTGTCCAAGATTTTATTATTTTCATCTTGTAAAGTAACAATCAAATCAGAAAGTCTTTTAATGTCTTGTGTTATACTGCATGTTTTGTCTGTGTGATCTTGTATTTCTTTATTTATTTTGTTTAAGTTGTTTTCATATTCTTTCATATCTAGAGACAATTTCTCTAGTGGTTTGTTTGACTTGGTTTCCTTTTCTTTTAAACTTTCAATTTCTTTGTTCAGCTCCTTTACTTTGTTAACTTGTTCACTCATTTGTTTTCTGAGGTTTTTAAAATTCTGTTTTTGTTTTTTAGTCAGTTGTTCAATGTTTACCCACATGTCACTCTGTTCTGTTACAAAGTTGTCTCTCCATTGTTTTATTTCTGATATGTCATCTGCAGACTTGACATTGGCGTCTTGTAGAGATGATGTGGCTGTCTCTATCTGCTCAAGTCGACTGACGTCTTGTAGAGAAGATATAGCTGTCTCTATCTGCTCAAGTCGACTGACGTCTTGTAGAGAAGATATGGCTGTCTCTATCTGCTCAAGTCAACTGACGTCTTGTAGAGAAGATATGGCTGTCTCTATCTGCTCAAGTCGACTGACGTCTTGTAGAGAAGATATGGCTGTCTCTATCTGCTCAAGTCGACTGACGTCTTGTAGAGAAGATATGGCTGTCTCTATCTGCTCAAGTCGACTGAATATTTCTGTTGCATAATAATATAAAGTTAATCGAAACATTAATTATATTGTATTCATTCTTAAATGCTTGTTCTTTGAAGGAATATTTTTAAAGATACAATAATATGTTCAAGTTTTTTTTTTTCAAATTCGTTAAAAATAGATTCTACCGTCTGTTTGTTGCACTTGTTTAGTGACTTGATTTGTTGGTACAGTTCGGTCACATTTTTCTGTTGCTGTAGTTTGTGGTGTAGCCCGATAAAAAGATAGTGTTGCTGCATCGACATCTAAAGTCTCTTTATTTTCACCTGTTATAAAAGAATATTATAAACTAAAACTTTAGTCTTCCACTTTTCAGTAATGGTTTACTTCTAGTTTATTAATGACATGTTATTGTGATTGCATACATATTTACGTGTGTGTGCAGCAGACATTTGATTTCATATAATAAATTAAATAGCGTGTAAATCATTTAAAATGTCGTAGACATACTAGTTATACATGTTCCCAAAGTAGGTGATCAAGTACATAAATGTTATAAACATTGATCTTATTTTATTGTTGTCTAATCATTTACTTATAATGTGTAACGCTGCACCCAACATGGCCGTGGTCGCTGAATCAAGTTCCTGACATAGCTCGATGTAGGTGATATACGGGTTGTCATTTTTATCTTCTATCCAAATCTTGCTTTTTTCTACTGCCTGATTAAATAGAGCAAATACATATTTTTAGCAATGGAGTACATGTTATTCCATTCTATATGTTGTTATAAGTAGGCCTACAGAATATTTTTTTTTTAAATCATCGCTTACGATTTGCATAATCCCAATGACAGGTTCTATAAGTTGTATCAGTTCTTCCAAATATTTCTTGAATTCTGTAACATGTCTGAGCTGAATTCTGGAGCGCATTTTATTTTTACTTATACACTGTCGAGATACAGAAAAATTAGTGCAAGATTTAGCCGAGGTATCAAGTGACAGAAAGTGAAATATATAAAAATGATTAGAATACATATATCTAGTAATTAGCACGTTATATTATTTAAGGTATATATATATGTATATATATATATATATATATATATATATATATATATATATATATATATATATATATATATATATATATATATAAATTATTTCTTTTAATATACTCCAATTTAGTCATACGACTTCTACGTGTACACATTTTAGTAAAAAATATTACATTTGTTATTTTATTATATCGCTGTAAATCAACTGACATAGACACATAGTTTAGAGTTCTAAATAAAAACGTCCTGATTGTAGTTCTAAATTATTCACTAGTTGATAAAATATTTAGTTAAAATAGGAGAGTGTCGAAATAAAATATACATCTCGAGTTTTTTAACTTAATGTGCTAATGAAGTACCAGATCTGTCGGTGTGATGGTCATTTTAATTGTTTATACTGTTAATAAGTATGTAGTATCTTATTTTTGGTGAGTAAGATATCTGCATTTAGACTCAAAGCAGTATTGTTTTTTTTGTGTAGATTAAATAAACTACGACTCAAATATCCATATAACACAAATTATATTTGAAATAATACTTACAATTAAAAAATATACATATAAAGTTTGTTAAAAGTTAATTTTCAAGCAGTAAATAAAATAATTTCCTGTTGATTTCTAGACAGAATTCCTACGTGTAAACACAGATAATATCGGGATTTCCCGTTAGGCTGTTTCAGTTTCACTAGCAGCAGTCCACAAAAATCTGGAAATACCAAATACAAAATGTACAACCATTAAACGGACAACAAGTAAAGGAACTATTGGTAAGCATAACGTAGGCTTGCATACAAAATACATAATTTATTGCAGTAACTGATATCACATATCGTCTGTATAAATATTTAAAATTTAGCTAATAGTGTTGCTAAAAGTTATTAATTTATTGTAAAAACATAGCCGTACAATGTATGCCGTAAGAAATAAGCAAGCATAGATTTTAAAGAAGTCTTTGCGCCGGTATCAGTATTAATCACTGCACTGCATGAACATAGAATTTCTGCTAATTTCATAATGTTTGGTGCTAATTGTTCTCTAATTTAGAACAATAAATGATGTTAAATGAGAAATGCAAGAGACGATCGATAGCGAATCTTCTAACTTTATCCATTACGTTCTCATTGACAACGTCGTCCATTTAACTTCACTTCTACTGATTTATTATCATACATATGCAATAATATTGTACAACTAGTGTATATGTTTAATTTTGTTTTAAATTATAAGAAAATAACAGCATCTTTTTTTTTAAGATTCATTTTGTACTTTAGATAAAATTATAAGAAAATATCCCTAATACTATCAAAATATGTTTTCATCGTTACTATTGCACGTTATGTTCATAAACCGATTTATAATATTATAGTTTAGGCATATAAAAGTGTGCTGTGTTAGTCCTGAAGCACTTGTCAGATTTATGCTCGAACAGTTTGATGCATTAAACCGTCAGTTACAGAGTAATTTGAATGATTACACGTTACAGGTAAAATAAATGAGCTGCTTGGATAAATGTGTAACATAATTGTAACTTAGTTAATTACATATTTGTATGTAAGCGCTACAGGTCATTTGTGCAGATAAAATGGAAAGCTATGCAGTTGATTAACAATCCTACAGTATAGACACAACATTTACATACAGAGAAACTGTGGCTATGTTAAAAACAGCGCATACTACACCACTTGAGCATTTGGAGAAGATAACTGGTACTGTATTTTCGTAAACCTGTAACCATTTTTTTAATTAAAATAAAATTCGTTTTTTAATCATCATAAATAGCCATTTTGTTGCTTTTCTTTTGTGTTTTTAAAAAATAATGTCATGCTAAAGCTAATTAACAATTACATTTTAATCCAATGCTCTAAAAAATGCAGGTTTTGAGGTAAACATTGGGTAGAAATTTAATTTGCTGTTAAAAATCATCTTTTATAGTTAGAACTGCGTGTGTGTTTGAACGAATATTTTATTCTAACATTGTAATGGGTTTATTAATATCCCTAAAGTGCTGACATATAATATGCATGTTATGTAATTTGCGAAGAATGCATAGTTGACTATTAGTGATATTAATTAACCATATTGAATTAGGTTAGCTATGTAACACTATTGTAACTGTATATTACATTTTGTAGTTGTTTTGTCTGTTGTATTGAAAGATAGTAGTTGTAAAATTATGGTTACAGAATCCTTGTTGTAGTGCCCAAAGATGTCTGCAGAAAATAGTCAACAGCAGCTAGTTAGAATAAAAAACAGCCAGAAAAAGGAAAATGTTGTGGGTCATTTGTGTCTGGTAACTTAAAATTAAACAAATTGAGAACAAGTTGAAATAAAAATTCTAACAATTAATTAAAATAATTTCGATACAAACTAAACTTTTTTTTCAACAACTGAATGTGTGCTTGATTTCATTGACGCACGTCCTTATCACAGGATATTGTTGCTATATCCAATTTGAAGAATTCAATAATTACAACCTTTGATAAAGTACGTGAATATAACGGTTAAATTTTAATCAGACGACAGGAAAATTTGTATCACCACATGATGGTTTATATCTTGTCTGTGTAACTCTACATGAATGGGAAGATAAACAGATTGGAGTTACTGTGATGGCTGGAGACTAGTTGTGTACGACTATAGAAGTGAAATGTGCCGCCACTAGCGCTGCTGGGTCAGTGGTTGTTGACATGAAGAAAGGTCAAGAACTTTGCCTTAGAGCGCCTTACGCAGAAGAAGGTGCAAAGTTATCAGACGACAGTAGTTTTGCTATCGTTAGTTTATAGAAGTACAACACAAAATATGGTGGATGGGGAATTCTAAAAAAAAACAACAACATGTAGCCACCATGTTAAACATGGGACCATCATCCAAGTTCTGTTTAAGGACTTAAAATGTTAACCTTCATTTCTACAGTGTAGTCTGAGTCCATGTTAACGTGGTGTTATTTATGTTGATACAATAATCAACGAACTACATTTATGTCTGCTTAAAGACTAGATTATCTCTAAAGCATTAGAGACTGTACCAGTATAACTGTAGTTTAAAGTCGTCCAGAGAAAGTTGGTAACATACACATGTGTAACGTCTGGTTAATAAATGTTTTATGTTGACTCATACAGTTATCATGTTTATTTTTAGCACATTGTACAGATGGAAAAAATAAGGGGACGTAACCAATGTAATAACCTACAGTGTCTGTAATATCTCGATAAGTTTCCTTGAAAACATGTTTTCATTTGTTTTTTTCCCAATTCGAGAATTACACTTTAACGCAAAATGTTTTAAGTAATATTTGCATATCCTGACATATGATGTATCTTAAATGATTTTACAGTTGTTCCAATATAGCCTATGTAAGATGGTGTTAAGAACTGTTTTATGTTTTGTTATACTTTATTTCTCACATGTACCTGACTTCACCATACAGTAAATCATATGTACCTCACTTCATCAGACATTAGATTACATTTACTTTACCTCATTTTAGACAATAGATGACATGCACCTTACCTCACCAGACAATAGATGACATGTACCTCACTTCACAATAGATGGCATGTACGTTACCTCACCAGACTGAACATGATATATCGAGGGCTGATCGTAGCATAGTTGAGATATAACTTTATGGCTGTGGTGCAAAATGAATTGTCAAATTATAAAATTCCTATTTTTAAACATTCTGTGTGAAAATATAAACATGTGTGTTATAGGAGTGATACATATTGTAACGGATATTATTACATCACTAATTGTGTTTGTTTTTCATTATACTTCTGATTTAGAGTGCGATATTCTATAATAAAACACGGTTATTAAGAAACTTTGTGTCGAAATATCGAACAAATTGTAAAATGCATTTTATGTTATCGGTTATGAAACTAAAGTCATTGTTACTTACAGTATATAACAGACAACACAAATGATATGTGTATGTATGTGCTCAAATGTGTGTGTGCTTTGTTCATACATACATGTGAATGTGTGAGTTAAAAAACATCACACAAGATTTTGTTAAGCTCACACACACGTGTGGGCAGACAACGCTGGTTCTAAACACTTTTTAAAGTTATAAAACAAAAAGAAATAATTCATTATTGAAACAAAATACAACACCAGCTGAACTATTGTAAAAAGAACGTTATGTTGGTTTGTATGTAGTTAAATACATTCATCTTTTGTATATTTATTGAGTTAATGAGCAGATCTAGGCTTTACATAATTAATTAGCATATTTCCACATACGTGATACAGCGGCGATCTATGTTATAATGTCTTACAACATAATTTAGTATTACGTGTCAACATGATGTGCGCTCTATGGCACGCTAAATCTGTGTTTAAACTGCTTTTATTTCTGGATTTTCTTTCATAGCCTTTGTACTTCCAAGAACAAAGTACGGGGCAGTACTTTTTTTATGTATGGGGTTTCGCTGCTGAATGTCTCTGGTTAACGAGACTAATGATTTATATTTGCTGCAAGGCTCTACAAGATCCCTGGGTATCGTACACTAAAGAGGACAGGTCAGAGCTAATTGAAATGTTGTAAACATTTGGCTGTAGATCTGGTTGTCACATGGGAAATTTGTCTTTATGGAGAGATGTGGCGAACAAACGTGAATTAACGTAAAGTATATGCTCAGTCTTGACTGACATGTTGTTTTGTAACAACATGTCAGTTATCGTCGTTTGTTTTCGTATAGCAAATGTCTACAAAAAAGATAAAATAAAATTATACTCGTATAACGGTGTTTTGTTCATAATTACGACTACTTTATCCACTTAACCCTAAACTGACTAAACTAACAACTACATATCCCTAATCAAACTCAGCCCCCCTCTCCACATATAGGTCTTAGGGGCTTTGATCACAGGTGTTTGACCACAGGGGGCTTTGTCCACAGCGTGGCTTTGACCACAGCGTGGCTTTGACCACAGAGGGAGGTTAACCATAATATATAGATTTTTAAAGTAGAAATTAGAAACTGTTATTTGATTCAAATTTATGATACAATTCATATTATTTTATACATGTTTCCTGAGAGTCCATTAATTGAAATTAGCATGTACTAAATAGTCAATAACGATAGTTTCCACTTAAAGTCTGGTGCTAGGCCTCATAGATTTATTTAAATAAAAATGGAACACAAATAATCAATAATGAGAGATGCAAAGTTTCACAAATAAATAATGTACATGTACATAAAAATACATAGCATACATTAAGTATAAAAAAGCATGTCAAGTCTAGTCACAGAAGTAGTATTCGTAAGGTTAATTAAATGACGGATGTGCCATAGCACGCAAATATGTCAGAACATATGTTTGACCATATGTCTGGACAGCACGCAGAGGCGTAGCGAGGGGGCGGCGGGGGGCGGGACATAAGACCCCGGGCGCCGACCCTAGGGGAGGGGGCGCCAAATTGAAAGTTTGAATGGGGTGTGCAAATGAAAAGTTCGAGTGGGCGGTATGCAAATCGAAAGTTTGTCCCCGGGCGCCGGGACGGGTTGCTACGCCTCAGACAGCACGTTGTAATCTCGTGCAGCATCTTGTATCGCTTCTCAGCTGGGTAGCTTGCACCTGCGACACCTTCCAAGAAAAATGTCTTTTGCAGTGAGCAGTCAATATGTAGACCAAGGAAACGCCACATTGTTAGATGACTACATTGGAGGAGAGACTAAAGACTGCAAGGCCATCCTTCACAGATGTTATTTGTTCGTACTACACCATTGCCAATCGTGTGTGTTTGATTGCAATTTTTAAAATTAATCCGTACCATATATGGACAAAACGCTTGTTATTAAACGCCCGCATTAGATAAAGCACCTGGGCTCAAAGACTCAAATTAAGATCAGTCAATGGACAGTGATACATACTGAGTATATGCTCATATATATATATATATATATATATATATATATATATATATATATATATATATATATATCGATGGTCTCGGTCGCTACTCGCCTAACTCAAAAAAAAATCGATTTTCTTGTTTTTTTTTACATAAATCAAAAGCCAGTATGATTCCCCATAATGCTTGAAAATATTATAGAAATCTGTCGAATGATTATCGAGATATAATCATTTGAACAAACCGCCTATTATTTCAAGCGCTATAAATCTCGCCGCAAAACGAATATCGCTATAATTGTCGGTACACTTTTGATCGTGAACGCAGTCGTACGCCGCAATCACACAATTTTACAGCACAGCAGTCACAGTACATATAGGTAAGGATATTTGATTAATTATGTTCAGCTTTTCTATTACATTTTACATTTTAAAGAATTATAAGCAAATACTATTTGTTTAATATAGCCTATTTTCAGATTTTCAATAACTAAACTGATTTGTTTACAATTTTTTGGCAAACACAATGCTTTGAAACTAGATCTTCATTCTAGAATCTAAATATCAATCAAAACAAAATTATTCGAATTATATTTCCACAAGATTGTGCAATAAATTTAATTATTGTTGATTCACTACTAGCTTTAGATTGAGGGTTTAGATACGTGTTAAGAAATGTTTATATGGTAGGTTACAAAATGTTTGGCGTACATGTTCAACGACCTGGTTAGTTGTGTTTAGTAAATACTTTTATGATTAATTTTTCAACAGACAATCCTATCTCAATACACCAGATGCTCTCAACAGACCAGCCTCTCGCAACAGATCAGCCTCTCTCAACAGATCAGCCTCTCTCAATAGACCAACCTCTCTCAACACACCAGTCTTACCACATAACAGACCAGCCTTTCTCAACAGACCAGCCTCTCAACATGTCAGCCTCTCTCAACAGACCAGCCTCTCAATATATCAGCCTCTCTCAACATACCAGCCTCTCTCAATACACCAGTCTTACCACATAACAGACGAGCCTCTTTCAACAGACCAGCCTCTCAACATATCAGCCTCTCTCAACCGACCAGTCTCTCTCAACAGACCCGTCTTACCATACAAGACACCAGCATTTGTCAACTGACAAATTTTAAAGGCACCAGCATCTCTCAAAAGACCAGTCGTAATATACAAATGACCAATCTCTCTCAACTGACCAATCTTACCCTCCAAGATACCAGTCTCTCTCAACAGACCAGTCATAACATACAATAGACCAGCCTCACATAACAGACAATATACACCAACCTCTCTCAAAAAGACCAGTCTTACCTATCAAGAATTCAATGCGAATAATATTCGTGCACTGCAGTACAACCACGCTGCTACTATCTAGTTCAAATTGAATTAGCAGATAGTTGGCAATTGCTAAGCTAGGGTCGTAAGATTTTGATCTCATCTGTAGCCCCTGTCAAGATGTACAAGAGCAGAAAAAAAAGTAAAAGCTGTCATACGAGAACCTAAAAGCAAGTCATAAATTCACATTTTTGTGATGATTATAATATATATATATATATATATATATATATATATATATATATATATATATATATATATATATATATATATATATATATATATACAGATTTACACATACATACGTATAAATGGAGATATTTGAATATCTAATATATACATATTATTATTATGTGTGACCCACTATTGGTTAGGGTAAGTGTGAGGGTGAGGGTAAGAAAAACATCAGCTGTGAGGGTGCAGGTTGAAGCATTTAGAATATATATATATGTATATATATATATATATATATATATATATATATATATATATATATATATATATATATATATATATATATATATATATTTAAATTTCAGATCAAACACAAAAAGTATGTTTTATTGATAAAACACAAAACGCACACGAATTAAATGATGCACAGAAAGCTTTCACATAGAGGTGTAAAAGATATGTAAAAAAGAGATATTCTATATGTTTATTTTAGTGAAGTGGAACACGTTAAATTTATAATCACATTTCATAAGTTGGAATTGTGTAATGGTGACTAAACAAATAACATATAAAACCATTTAAGTTTATGTAGACATGTAGTCTAACCCCATAGTAAGTTGTAAGCGTGTGTTAAACATGGTGGTTACATATTTTATTGCTTAGAGAATTTACCATTTACCATCTTTGGTGTTGTACTTCTATAAACTAACGATAGTAAAACTACTGTAGCTGGATAACATTGCGTTTTTATCTGCGCGATCTACTTCAAAGTAAAGTTCTTGACCTTTCTTCATGTCAACAACCACTGACCCAGCAGCACTAGTGTCGGCACATTTCACTTCTATAAACTTACACAACCTGTCTCCAGCTATCACACCAACTCTAATCCGTTTATCTTCCCATTCGTGTAGACTGCCACAAACGAGATATAAACCATCATGTGGTGATACAAATTTTCCTGTTGTTTCATTAAAATGTTGACCGTTATATTCACGTACTTCCCTAAAAGTTGAAAGCATTAATCCATCACAGACGTATGTGTGATCATAAACCGTCAGATGGCAAACATATCTATTACATACACGTGACTCTGGAGATTGGAAAACATATGAATGATGAAAATGTTTAATTTCATACTCTGATTGTTTGGTTCATACAATGTTCATTTACACAAGTTTAATAAGTTAAAATAATTTTCTCTAATACAACTAATTTCAACTGTTATTTAACTATCGCCCTCAGTTTTAGTGTTCTTAATTTATCGTCTAAGAAGATTTGAAACTATTGATTGTATACAAGTGTAACCGGTCACGTAATAAATAAGTAAAAGTAAGGCACATACTATATACGTACATTAGATTCCGTGTGTGTTTACATTATAGTTCAGTTATAGGAGGTTAATATAATGAAACAAAAATCACCTGAGCTGGAGTTAATCTGTTGTAGGGCTACTTATGAAACTCTATCAAAACCAATAGGTTAATTATCACAATCAACCATTTGTATTGCTCATTTCACGTTAGTCAATTAATTAGATATTAAGATGTTAATGTCATAATTATTTATTTATTTCAGTTAATTTTATTTTAGATGTAAACCCTGGCTCGTTTGGGACTCGGTCTGTATAATAGATGTGACGTCAATTGGAATTAATTAATTAGTTACTTTTAAACTGCAGCTATGTAAATATTTTACTATACTAGAGTCGACCCCCGACATACCAGGTGGTGTAATGTACCAGGTAAGGAAACAAACACCTGACGGAAACCCACGGGTCTAGAGACTGGCACTATGGGTGAGTGAAATGTTCCATTCTTTATCACGTTATGGTCTGTCTGGCTAACGAACATCACGTTATGGTCTGTCTGGCTAACGAACATCACGTGATGGTCTGTCTGGCTAACGAACATCACGCTATGGTCTGTCTGGCTAACGAGCATCACGTTATGGTCTGTCTGGCTAACGAACATTACGTTATGGTCTGTCTGGCTAACGAACATCACGTTATGGTCTGTCTGGCTAACGAACATCACGATATGGTCTGTCTGGCTAACGAACATCACGTTATGGTCTGTCTGGCTAACGAACATCACGTTATGGTCTGTCTGGCTAACGAACATCACGTTATAGTCTGTCTGGATGTGCGATTTGGTTTGAAAAATAATTCAGACAAACCTACCTAATAGATTTATATCTTTGGTCAACAGTGCAATAGTATCTTCAATAGTTTCAAGCTGAAAAAGATTTTATAAAATGAGTGAAAAAATCACACAGTTACGTACAACATACAATAACTTGACTGATGTTAAATGGTTATGGAACCTTATAAGAATATAAAATAATTTAAAGGGTGTGTCATTTTTAAAGTTATAGATGTATCATTTAATTTAAGAAAACATGTATTAACTGCTCTATTGACAAAGTGTTAATAATGTATGCTGGATTTATCAATGTCGCAATTAAATTTTTACTAAAATTACTACACAAATACCTTCGTTATTCTTTCTTCCCTAGTTTCCAAGTTCTGGTTAAAGATTTGAATCAGTTTGTCAATGGGCATCAATCTTTGTTGTAGGAGCTTGTACAATACATTTTGCTAAATATCGGAAGATTAAATAAAAGAATAATAATTCAGATTATTTTTAATGCATATTATACCTAATATAAACATGTGTCTTAACAGTAGTAATTATATTAAAGTATAACTGGTGATAAAGTTACTGTTGTTTTTTTTATTTAACCTGCTTATAATAAACTATCTGGCGAGTATGTGTAAACTTGTGAATACACATAATTAGCAATTTTACCTTTTCTATTTGAGATGATGTTTTACACAAGATTTTATCACACTCCTCTTGTAGGGCAGCCATCAAATCCGAATGTCTTTTCATTTCTTTTGTTATACTTTCTATTTTGTCAGTGTAATCTTGCATATCTTTATTTATTTTGTGTACATTGTTTTTATATTCTTTCATATCTAGAGTCAGTCTCTCTAGTGTTTTGTTTGACTTGGATTCTTTTTCTTTTAAACTTTCAATTTCTTTGTTCATCTCCTTTACTTTGTTATCTTGTTCACTCATTTGTTTTCTGAGGTTTCTAAAATTCTGTTTTTGTTTTTTAGTCAGTTGTTCAATGTTTACCCCCATGTCACTATGTTCTGTTACAATGTTGTCTCTCCATTGTTTTATTTCTGATATGTCATCTGTAGACTTGTGTTGTGTATCCTGTAGTGAAGATAGTGTTGTTTCAATATAGGCGAGTCTACGCTCTAGTTCAGGATGTTCTTCAACTGAGGATAGTCACAAATATAAGTTTGTAATTTAAAATGTTCCAAATCTTAAAAAATAGACTGTTAAAAATGAAATGAAACAAATGTATCAATCGTACATTGGTTTACAGTATATGATGCTGTTATTTGACGTGTTATTCAAAGAATAATATTATATACCAGCTGCGTGTTGAACTTGTGTCTTGAGTTGTCTTGGTGATTCCACTGTTAGATATGTTGCTGTTGTCTGTGTGTCAGGCTGTGGTATAGATGGCGTTGATTTGTTGACGTCCATGTTGCCCTCGTCTGTTGGAATCGGTTATAGTATTTTATTTTAATTACAGTTGTAGAGTACAAATATTTCATAGTACATGCAATACGTTCTACTAGTTTAGCTCTAACGCAAAACACGTAATACTCTGATGAAAAAAAACAACTATGAATGTGATCTAAATTTAAACAAACACCATTAGTTCCAAAATGTCCGAAACATATAGATATATATAGTGTACATTTATTTTAAATTTAACTTTTACATGACTGTTTATCGAATATATAATCAGTAGTATTTAGAAAAAAAGCGTTTAACGTTCTATTAACCCTTATGGCTCTTCAGCCTTGTTTTAGGGCGAATAAGGTTACACGAAACGATTGTAAATTCTTCATTTTTTTCAATGTAAGGATTTACAAGATTGACTAATGTGATGTCGATTTTATAAAACTACTAGAATACCCGTCATCCGTTGGATAACTGTGGGTTTCGGGGATCATCCATCAAAAAACATCACGTCTGTCACTCAGAGGCATAGTGACCCTTCCCGGCGCCCGGGGACAAAGTTTTCGATTTGAACCCCCCCCCCCCTTAAACTTTTGATGTGCACCCCCCCCCCCCCACTCAAACTTTCGATTTGAACCCCCCTCAACCTTTCAATTTATTTTTCCAAACCATTTTGGCGCCCCAACATATGTCCCCCCCCCGCCCCCCCTTCCCCCCTCCACCTCCCCCCGCCTCCCCTTCCCCCCCGCCTCCCCTCCCCTACCGTCCTCCCCCCCTCCTCGGTACGCTACTGCAGTGTCACTTATCGTCACAAAAAACAGACCCCACATTCAAAAATATGTTTTTTATCTTTTAAAAACACCGAAAACACCGATTTCGGACTATCCCTTCATATACTGACGTCACATGTGACCTACTCAACTCTACTTCACCTGCCTAGTGTCCCGCCAAGTCTCAGACAACATGTATTTATCGTTTAAAAAACGATTCCAGCCGAGCATGTCTCTGATCACACTATCCTTTCACATGCTTAGGACAAAGAAACAGATGAACTCTACTTCACCTGCCCTGTATCTTGCCAAGTTCAGATAGGCAACTTTATCATTCACATCTAAAAAAAAAATTGAAAAAAAAGTCCTTTGACATATTGGTCTAGAACCCGTGCCACCTGCATGAGAGCCGACTACGCTACCATTTTAGCTATTTACTCGTGACGTCACAAGTGAAATTTTATACTATACAATGTGTCTCCTTATGCAACTTGATTTACGCGTATAGATTCTAGATCTAGATCTAAGTCTAGTAGTACTAACTTTCAAATTAAATTTTATCTTAAATTAGCCAAACAAAGATTTATATAAAATAATTAAGGCCTGAAATAGATTCTAGATCTAGAATTTACATTGAGTCTAGTGACCTACATCTAGGCTAGATCTAGATCTAGATCTAGGCTAGATTCATAACTTTCCTTCGATAGCTGATCTTTAGATCTAGAGAAATTTATCGTAAAACTAAATGAAAAAGATAGTTGAAAATTGATATAAGTGTTGGAACGTAATAAATACAGCAAACGGACGTATTATTTAAGTTATAGCCGGCAGAAAATTAGCTTTGTAACGCGTTAAACTTTTGAATGGGCCACAAAGTCTATGATGGAGTCCGCCATTTTTATTGTACCAAAAAGTTAACACATCAAGGGACGTCACTATCCCCACAAAGTTTATTCAAAGTATTAACATTTTTAAAAAAATACGGTTAATTTAACTATGAATAAATCAATAAATTAATTAACGTCTTTAAATAAATTTGTGATTAACAGTCTGTCTGCATTAAAAAATTATTCTCTACCTACATACTATTTTACAGCTCTCCAGATAGAGTAGAACATATCACAATAGTCAATCAGGCAAACAAACAAACAAACAAAAAAATAAATATTCAAACGAGTAAACAAACTTGACTTTTAGTAGTATATAGATAAACATAGAAAGTGTTATGATATTCGGCCGACAGTGAAATTATATCCCTTTAACATAGTATTTGCAATAACTGCAAACTAAACTGTAAAACAATTTTGTTGCATTCTTATCAGTAGAAACACTTCATTACTGAACACACATGACAGTAGGCTTTGAGATTTTAAATTATAAAAACTATTAAAGTGCTGACTTAAAATATGTGACGTCACATCCAACAAGGCCGTGGCTGCTGTGTCCAGTTCTTGTGATAGCTCGATGTAGCTGACAGATGATTGGTCAGTTTTTTCTTCTAGCCACGCCTTACTTTTTGTAACAACCTTGTGATCACAAACGTAAACATTATTTCAACTGGCCACGTTTTGTATGGCTGTTTTATGAGAAAATGTCAAACGTAAAACACTTTCTACCGTCTAAATGGTATATTACTAATTAGGCCTATACAATGTTAAAATCTCTAAATAGTATATTTAAAAACAATATATATTATTTAATGAAGATACTGGGGTAAATTAATTTTACTTTTCAAAATCTGTTTTGTGTAATTAAAAAAAAATTGTTGTCTCAACAGAGCACCCATTAATATGTTATAAAATTAGTAGTAGCCTTAAAATGTTTTCATCTTACATTTTTCATACGTTCAATCACATGTTCCAGAACTTGTATCTGTTCTTCCAAATATTGTATCTGTTCTGTAACAACCTTGACCTGAATTCGTGTAGGCATCTGGTTTAAAAATAGAATCTTTACTTATTACATTTGTTTGCTAGTCGCATAAGCCAATGTGAAAGATCACAGAGGACAAAGACATTTGGTTTACTAACAAGAGTTAAAGACGATATGTTTAATCTCTTATGCTTATGACAGATGTGTTGAAATAATTTATGTTTCATGAAACATAATTACATTGTAAAAAAAAAGTAGAATGACGTATATCCGTGGACGTTACGATCGTTGATGCAGAGATAGGTGTAAACATTTGCAGACGTGTGTGTCTGTGAATTTGCATCTGTGAAAATATACATTGCCACCCCCCCCCCCCTTGACCGCATGACTGCTACAATACAGCAAGAAAATATCAAGGTGGGTGTGACACCAAGATGTGATACCAAGGTGTGATACCATGGTGTGATACCAAGGTGTGATACAAAGATGTGAAACCAATGTGTGATACATAGATGTGATACCAAGGTGTGATACCAAGGTGTGATACAAAGGTGTGATACCAAATTGTGATACCAAATTGTGATACCAAGGTGTGTTACCAAGGTGTGATACCAAAGTGTGATACCAAATTGTGGTACCAAGATGTGATACCAAGGTGTGGTACCAAGGTGTGGTAAATTAATTTCAGCAGTTGTTTTACAAGCTATGGAACGCTAGCAGGATATGGGTTAGTACGAAAGTAATATATATAATCACTTGTAGTGACAAAACGTATACATTCGTTGCAAAATGTTATTTTAATACATATTAATACTACGGAAAAAAAATAAAACAGTAGTAATCTCCCTAAACATTAACGGTATATTCGTATATCGCCCTAAGTCGGAAGGCACTTTCAGTGCAATAGGGCGTTAAAAAGGTTTATAAAAATATATTCTTAAATAACTAAATACAGTATATCAGTATAATTGTATCATTACGGTGCATTTGCTCAACTATCTAGTCTTGATAAGTCAGATGTCTAAAGTTTATCTATCACTAACTTTAGGTTTGCTAAATGTAAACTTACATTTGACTGAATAATCCAAAGTTCTAAGCTGTTTGGCACTTGATTTAATCACTCTAGTTCCAATACACTAACAAATTTTGCCTCCACTTAATCAACAATGTGTGAAGTCATGAACACAAGTTGCAGCTACAACTTAGTGATGCCTGCTTTAGGTGTACTTTGTCCTGATCCGTTCTTTGGCTTCAATTCATACCATTAATCTTAGTTTAATATAAACCTATGTAGCACAATATCGTGTTATCACTGACTGGTTTTATCACTTATATCAGCTCTAAATCAGGTGTGATCAAATCAAACAGTACATGACTGCTGATAGACTGTTTATAAATTAAATTGTATGTCTGTCAGTAATACATTTCTCTGCAATACACAAAGTCAACGTAGAGTAAATAACAAGCAAATAAGATGGGTGAAATATAAACCTTGGATCTCGGCCTTTTAAAATCTCAGTGAACGCCCATGTTAATGACGGGCCATTGATACGAAAATGATAAGTGCTCTCTTCACACTAATCATTTCAAGTTTTCACAACCAAGAAATCCACCCACCTTCTTAAAATTCCAAGTGTTCTCTTCACGCTGATCATTTCAAGTTTTCACAACCAAGAAATCCATCAACCTTCTTGAAATGATGTGTTAGTTAATGTAGTGCTCGGCACATATTTGCGAGAAAAGAACTTGACATTATATTTCGATATGGTTTTGAGATGTTTGCATATTATCTGTCTATAGTGAAGAAACGTTTCGTACACAAACTATTGCTTAAAGCGATACCACTTTAATTAGGTTTTTCTACAACACATGGGACAGCAGTAGATATTAAACAAATGTACAATTAGAACCAAATTTTATTACGTTCTCCGCAATAATAAAAATATATATTTCCAATACAAACAAAAATGTTAAATTTGCAAAATACAATTATATGTTTCATTCATAGAATAATATTTATGATTTAATAATATTACAAATATACAGTCTTAATATTAAGTGCAGTAAAAATAACGCTAGGTAGAGTTATAAAACAGTCATGATATCTTCAGTGTATAAAATAAATAATCCTCTTTATACTTAACGATCCATTTGGCAGATGAAATAGAGTTTCTTCACCTCGGCATATAAAAAGTAAAGTAAAAGTAAAGTTTCCCTTTCAAACATGACGGTCTATGGGGCAAGTGAAGTAGAGTTCACTTGTTTCTGTGACCTCGGCATATGAAAAGATAATGTGGTCAGCACTATGCCCAGCCGCCTGTACTGACCCTAACGTGAGTTAGGTACCCATCAGAGTTGGGTGGACTCAAGGACGGTTAACTGACTTGAACACGGATTCGAACTCGAGACTCTCTACCGCTAGACTACTCCGTCCGGCATATAAAAAAAAAGTTTTAATTAAAGAGTTAGGCAGGCATCAGAGCTAAGAAGACTCAGATACGCTCTACTGGCCTTGACCAAGATTCTATCTTGAGACTTTCAGGTTAGCAGAACATTTACCCTACCGCATAGCCACATCGTTACCTCTTTAGTGTATGAATTTAATTATAAGCTCATAGCGAGAATGTACCCTTAAGGTAATATTCAACTTAGTTTTATATTTTGATTTTAAATTTTTGGTTTACAAATACAACTATATTTAATCTTTCAGCTAAATTCTTAAAATAGCGAAACCGCTTCCTTTTTGCAGGAAAGACCCTGGTGCTAATTGTTGAACTTTAAAATATAGTTCTTGACCTTTCTTCATCGGAACTACACTTGATCCGCAAGCTGAAATATTGTCAGGTTTCACATAAATAGTTTTATACTTTAGTTCTCCGACTGCTACTTGAACCAAAATCGGATTATTTCCACCGGCTACTAACGTCACAATAACCAGATATAAACCATCATCTGGTGCTTCAAGTTTTCCTGTTGTTTGATTAAAATGGCTGCCGTTATGTTACTTCAGCAACATTACAATTTCCAATAATCGTTTTAACTGGGATACATTTTTCTAAAAGATAATCTTACCTTACAACATAGCTGCTTCATGTCGCATCAATATACAGTAATGTTTTAAGATAGAACAAATTAAATACATTACATTATAACTGGAGCCCGTCTTTTCCTGAAAGACACTTGCCCGAAGGTCGATTTCCTAAACGGTTTTACAATAGACCACAAGCTAAAGTTACTACCGATTGAATACGTTTGTTATTTAAATTAGCACGGTTCAGTAGACAAATATTTTGTAATATTATTTCTTCTGTAGAGAATAATAAGCTTTTAATTGAAGTAAAAATAAACCAAACTTGCTTATTTAAAAAAAAAAGAAATTATTGATAAAAATGTGTAGACTATGTGATTTCCTAATCGATCAAAGCAATTTTTTTTTCGTTATTCAGTCCATTTCAAAGTTTATAATTATGTAAAATATATTTGTTTTAGTTGAAAACCCCCTCCCTACATCCATTCTTGTATCATTCTTCAGGTAATTCGATATAACATTAACATGTATGTGTTTATGTTAATGTTGATCTTGTAAAGTGTTTAAAGTACCCACCAGACCTTTCTAGATTACAGCAGACGTAGTCGACTCTAGCCCGAAATCCGAACCCGACACTTTCAGGTTATCACATGACATACCACACGACCACACCGTTCCAATGTTAAAGACTGAAAATGGTAACGGTCGACTTCAGCATTGATGTGAGTTACTTTAATTTGTGCTTTCACACGCGGTGCTACAAATAGATCTTTATGTTTTAACTGGGGTTTATGTTACCCGCAGTTATGCAGTGAGAGGGTATACAATACTATTATGTTCCTCTCTAACCAATATTCGCTCGCATTTACATGCCTGATCAAACACATGACATAACACTTTACTTGAGGCTAAAATTGAACATTTTATTAAGTAGTTAAATTTTAAATTCAGTTCCCTTTTTTCACCAAAATTATGTTTCTACTATGTTATTAATTAAAAATGGAAATATCTGTCAATATATCTACTATAAATCAAAGTTTTTAAATAGACCTCAATTACCGCTTTTAGTTAATTTTGTCAGCAAATGCGAGAATAAAAAAATGTCGGAGATGTTTGTGTTATTGTCTGTTTAAAAACATCGCTATGTATACTGCCACATTTTGGTGTAGTCAATTTCATCGCATCACCGATTACATGTACATAACCTGTAATATGTGCATTGACATATAAAAATATTCAAGATAAATCTGCCGAGCTAATCCTGCACTATTACATATTGATTATAAAGTAAGAAGATTGGAATTGGAGTGCAAGCAAACTTAACAAAACTATATATATATATATATATATATATATATATATATATATATATATATATAGAGAGAGAGAGAGAGAGAGAGAGAGAGAGAGAGAGAGAGAGAGAGCACCCCATGCGAATGGCTATCTCTGTATCTGTCAATGATCGGATCACTGAGTAACTAGTAGATATACGGTCACTTCCTGTGTGGATCGCCCGACTAATTCAATGATAATAAGCCTATCTTTTCTTTGCTCCGACTCTATAAATAGAATCTATAAATAGAATGACAAAGCGAAGGAAACGAAATTTTAAACTGATTTCCGCCATTAAAAAATAACATGAAACCTACAGTTCACGACACATCGCATAGGAATTTAAAATAAATATTAGGCCTATAGGTTTAATACATACTGCATAGAATCTAGAAATTTAGATCTAGTGTTCTGGTTAGTTTAGAATATAGTCTAGAATCTAATCATACGGCTGCATAAAAAGAAAGTTTGAAGGAAATAGATAGGAATCTGCAGAAGCAGAGGTAAGAAGATTAAATTAGTAATTTACATGATTTTTATTGTACTTTCACTGTTTGTTAGGCCCAATTATTAAATCTTTAGATCAGAAGTCAAGCTTGATCATGTGTGGTATCTATTGTGGTGCATTGGAATGAAAAGCCCACATACTTAAATATAGAATCTTCTATGCCTATACTACAACTATACTGCCCTATACTTTAAATTTGTTACCACAAGAAAAAGGCCTATTTACTATTTACTATTATTAGTTAGAATTAAATTGAATTGAAATATTTGTTTATCTTTATAGTTTATAGTGAATGCATGCTAATGAGCATTATTCAAGCTGCTGTTATATTTAGGCTTATAGGCCTATTTATACTCTATAGTTTAGGCTATATACTATAGACTATAGACTATATATTATATACCAATATTGTGCATAAAACTTAAAGCATGTAAGCATACACAATAATAATATTCATTAGACCCATAGTTACAGTAACTAAGACTCGTCCTATTTTGTACTACTTTAACACTACCTTTAAACTATTAGGCATAATGAAATAATGATTAATGATTTCAGTGTTTTCCGCGCTTGAGAGGAAAGAGGTTGTAGGGAACTTAGAGACTAAACCTTGCCAGCATACTGGATTTCTGGTGATGACAATAGCAGCAGATAGTATTCGACTCAGTTAATACTTAAAACAATTGATTTTAGTAATTAGTGGTAAGCTCTTTTTAAAATAATATATTATAACATGGTATCGCAAAGATTCAGGTTGTCCGATAAATAGTAATTATAGTCAAGATTATTTAGGACTATAGTTTAGTGCTTGGTTAGTAATATGCATCAAGTTGGGAAAGACATAGAAATTGAAATACATAGAGTTTAATGTGTTCATTCGCAAACGTTACTATTTAAAACATTTAAGGCCTGCTTTTTATTGCTGAATAATAAAATCACTATACTTATCCACTATATTATGTTTAAATAAAGTGAGTTTAGATCAGTCGAGTAAATAAATTTAATAACAAGACATAACTAAAATTTACAAATTTACACTGAATATATATATATATATATATATATATATATATATATATATATATATATATATATATATATATATATGTAATTTGATTGCTATTTTATAAAAGTATGTAAATCACAGAACAAACATTACTTTGTATTGTGTCTACAGCTTAACAAAAATGCAACTACTTTGATGGATTGCACTAAATAGGGGTTAGCTTTAATTTAATAATTAGTGAGATATTCTTGCTAATCTATGTGTAAATTGCTTTTCAGGACTATGAGTGTGTGTTTGGCCATCCAGATTTCATAACTACAACTGATGTTTAATTACAATAGATATTAATCA